AGAAGGACGAAACAGCAGTCTGATGTAACAATACTGACAAGTCCTAGAAGGACAAAACAGGTATATGATGTAACTATACTGACAAGTCTTAGAAGGACAAAACAGCAGTATGATGTAACTATACTGACTAGTCCTAGAAGGACAAAACAGGTATATGATGTAACAATACTGATAAGTCATAGAAGGACGAAACAGTTGTATGATGTAACTATACTGACAAGTCCTCGAAGGACGAAACAGCTGTATGATGTAGTTTAAAGCATTGATTGCCTTTTCTGTATCTTTTTTCTAAATTAGTATTGAAAGGCGGCGCTACACCATATACACGGTCTTTTAAAAGCAATAATCGGTATTCAAGAATGAAAAAAACAGATCGCTTAGGCTCAAGGTGTTCCGAAACATTATAGATCTCGGTGAGATGTTTTACTAACAGTGTTTATCTCTGTTTTACTGACAATCTTTATCTCTGTTTTACTGGCAGTGTTTATCTCTGTTTTACTGACAATGTTGATCTCTGTTTTACTAACAGCCTTTATCTTTGTTTTTGACAGTCTTTTCCTTTGATTTGGTAAGTGTATTTCTTACCAATCCCGGTAACATTCAGTTCTACGCAGTACTTGTGACGAAATGCACACTTAAGGCTCCTACGATAGTGTAAGGCGCTCGACTGTAACGCGATTACAAGTTGTATATCCGGTAGTGTGTACATTATCGATCCTATTGGCTGTACACACGTGTGCTAGCTGCATTTTCAATGCGAAATATAAACAATAATTTTCAGAAATAGTTTTTAGACCTTCACACAAATAAACACCGCTGATTAAGTTTGAACAATCAATACCAACAGGCCGCCATTCCCGACTTAGCAGTAAATGCTGTGCATGTATGCGTCTCGTCACCACTGCTAGTAAACATTGGCGAACCTGACCGCGGATCTGCCAGTCAGGGTTCCGTTTGTTGTACACCAATGACATAGAAGATATGGCCGTCGAAGGCCAGTCGTCCAAAATCTGTGTTTCTTCATATTGGTAGGAGAGGCTGGAATAGTGACCGGAGAATCTCAATATGATGGGTAGGTGAAGTGTTTAGTTTGTAAGTGTTTGGGTTTGTTTATGTGCGTTCACCGCATATACATTAGGAAACATGAATGTTATTAGTGGTAGGACATGAGGTTACAGTTGGAGTGAAGGGCGATAATGCCCTGTAACTTAGATATATACTTTATATAAGACAAGTCAACACTACACATGTTAAGGTCAGGTACCTCTCCGAAAACATTTCCTTAACGTACATTATCGAGCTCATTTATAGAATGTCAACAATGCTTCAATACTGATTGTTTGCAGGAGGTACACCCATGGGGTTGATAACGGTACAGAGGTGTAAGGGTACACCCATGGGGCTGAAAATGGTACAGAGGGGAAAGAGGTACACCCATGGGGCTGAAAACGGTACAGAGGAGAAGGGGTTACACCCATGGGGCTGAAAACGGTACAGAGGGGAAAGGGGTACACCCATGGGGCTGAAAATGGTACAGAGGGGAAAGGGGTACACCCATGGGGCTGATAACGGTACAGAGGTGTAAGAGTACACCTATGGGGCTGAAAATGATACAGAGGGGAAAGAGGTACACCCATGGGGCTGAAAATGATACAGAGGGGAAAGGGGTACACCCATGGTGTGTTATTATACCTACACCACACAGTCGTGGTAATGATGTGTGTTATACCTACACCACACAGTCGTGGTAATGATGTGTGTTATACCTACACCACACAGTCGTGGTATTGATGTGTGTTATACCTACACCACACAGTCGTGGTAATGATGTGTGTTATTATATCTACACCACACAGTCGTGGTAATGATGTGTGTTATACCTGCACCACACAGTCGTGGTATTGATGTGTGTTATACCTACACCACACAGTCGTGGTAATGATGTGTGTTATTATATCTAAACCACACAGTCGTGGTAATGATGTGTGCTATTATATCTAAACCACACAGTCGTGGTAATGATGTGTGTTATTATACCTACACCACACAGTCGTGGTAATGGTGTGTGTTATTATATCTACATCACACAGTCGTGGTAATGATGTGTGTTATTATACCTACATCACACAGTCGTGGTAATGGTGAGTGTTATTATATCTACACCACACAGTCGTGGCAATGACGTGTGTAATTATATCTACACTACACAGTCGTGGTAATGATGTGTGTTATTATACCTACACCACACAGTCGTGGTAATGATGTGTGTTATACCTACACCACACAGTCGTGGTAATGATGTGTGTTATACCTACACCACACAGTCGTGGTAATGATGTGTGTTATTATATCTACACCACACAGTCGTGGTAATGATGTGTGTTATACCTACACCACACAGTCGTGGTAATGATGTGTGTTATTATATACATATGTATTACAGTAAAAAACATGGCACATTATCATAATTTTAAACGTGAACAGTTTTTCGTTCACATAATGACAACTCACTAACCTGAATCTGTTAAAGGTCACTTGATTCCCGCTTGTGAATTGCTATAATTTAAGTGATCTGTATCATTTGATGCAGTCTATTGCCGTGGGATTACAGAGGACACTTTGACTTTGGGTCAAGATCTATTAGTTGTCGATAGATAGAAAATTTTGTCAGGTATACTGGATCGACAGAAATCTATGATGCCACTTTTTAAAAAATTAAACTGTCTGGCTTCCATAAAACATACGAAGCAGAAACAAGCAAGAACAAATGGGTGTGGGATTGTACCGAGTCGGGTTACCATTGGTTCAGACATTATTACAGTAGTTATTTGTAAGTGTCCAATATCAGTACAATAGATCACCCAGTCAGAATATGGGACACCATGCTTTTTTGTTTGGATACGCGACAGGGGAAGTATATAAATGACATTTATATAAAGGCGAGTGACATGTACTACCGAACCTAAGATTTGTTCAGTGTCCAATCATACAACAAGGAAAGACTCACTAAACAAATAGTGTTTTTACCGGTCTTATTATATAGACAAAGAACGTGCCTGTGTGTAACCAGTTAGGTCCGTGCCTGTGTGTAACCATTTAGGTCCGTGCCTGTGTGTAACCAGTTAGGTCCGTGCTTGTGTGTAACCAGTTTGGTCCGTGCCTGTGTGTAACCAGTTAGGTCCGTGCCTGGGTGTAACCAGTTAGGTCCTAGCCTGTGTGTAACCAGTTAGGTCCTAGCCTATGTGTAACCAGTTTGGTCCGTGCCTGTGTGTAACCAGTTAGGTCCATGCCTGTGTGTAAACAGTTAGGTCCGTGCCTGTGTGTAACCAGTTAGGTCCGTGCCTCTATGTAAACAATTAGGTCCGTGCCTGTGTGTAACCAGTTAGGTCCGTGCCTCTTTGTTACCAGTCAAGTCTATGACTGTGTGTAACCAGTCTGGTCCTTACCTGTGTGTAACCAGTCAGGTCCATGCCTGTGTGCAATTAGTCAGGTCTTTGCCTGTGTTTAACCAGTTAGGTCCTTGCCTGTATGTTAGGTCCTTGCCTGTGTGTAACTAGTGAGGTCCATGCCTGTGTGTCAGGTCCATGCCTGTGTGTAACCAGTCAGGTCTATGCCCGTGTGTAACCAGTTAGGTCCATGCCTGTGTGTTAGATCCATGCCTGTGTGTAACTAGTGAGGTCCATGCCTGTGTGTAACCAGTCAGGTCCATGCCTGTATGTAACTAGTCATGTCATTGCCTGTGTGTAACCAGTCAGGTTCATGCCAGTGTGTAAGCAGTCAGGTCCATGCCTGTGGGTAACCAGTTAGGTCCATGCCTGTGTGTAACTAGTCAGGTCCATGCCTGTGTGTAACCAGTTAGGTCCATGACTGTGTGTAACCAGTCAGGTCCATGCCTGTGTGTAAATAGTGAGGTCCATGACTGTGTGTAACCAGTCAGGTCCATGCCTGTGTGTAAATAGTGAGGTCTATGCCTGTGTGTAACCAGTTAGGTCCGTGCCTATGTGTAACTAGTTAGGTCTTTGCCTATGTGTAACCAGTTAGGTCCATGCCTGTGTGTTAGGTCCATGCCTGTGGGTAACCAGTCAGGTCCATGCCTGTGTATTAGGTCCATGTCTCTGTGTAACCAGTCTGGTCCATGACTGTGTGGTACTGGTCAGATCCGTTCCTGTTTGTCAATGGTAAGAACGATACCTGTGTGTTATGAGATCCATTCTTTTATGTTACTGGTCAGAACGGTGCGTGTTTGTTACGGGTCAGATCCGTTCCTTTATGTTACTGGTCAGAACGGCGTGTGTGTTACGGGTCAGATCCGTTCCTTTATGTTACTGGTCAGAACGGTGTGTGTGCGTGTTTGTTACAGGTCAGACCCATTCCTTTATGTTACTGGTCAGAATGGTGTGTGTGTGTTACGGGTCAAATCCGTTCCTTTGTGTTACTGGTCAGAACGGTGTGTGTGTGTTACGGGTCAGATCCGTTCCTTTGTGTTACTGGTCAGAACGGTGTGTGTGTGTTACGGGTCAGATCCGTTCCTTTGTGTTACTGGTCAGAACGGTGTGTGTGTGTGTTACGGGTCAGATCCGTTCCTTTGTGTTACTGGTCAGAACGGTGTGTGTGTTATAGGTCAGATCCGTTCCTGTGTTACTGGTCAGAACGGTGTGTGTGTGTGTTACGGGTCAGATCCGTTCCTGTGTTACTGGTCAGAACAGTGTGTGTGTGTTACGGGTCAGATCCGTTCCTGTGTGTTACTGGTCAGAACGGTGTGCGCGTGTTACGGGTCAGATCCGTTCCTGTGTGTTACTGGTCATTCCATTAAGACAGACTGTAATGTATGTCAATGTCCAGGTAAGTCAATGTACTTTATCTATCGAGGTCGATTACGTTTGTTTTATCTTACTGTTATCTATGGCTACAGTATGTTGAACAATGTAACTTACAAGTCCTTTATTGTTAAACGTGACTTGAACATTTCCTTGCTGATTGTCTGAAATCTTTTCTCTATAATGTCAGGTAAGGCACTTAGCCACGGCTCGTCCCTAGAGAATGGCCTGCAGGTCCAGCCAATTCTTCCTCAGTCTCAAACTGAGGAAAATAAAGATGGACGACTGGCGGCCCCCGATGGACAACCAAGGGTGTACAAGCGTCGCTGGATTATGGTGTTCCTGTTCTGTTTTTACTCCTTAAGTAATGCTTATCAGTGGATCCACCTTAACATCATCGCTAACGTGATCATCAAGTATTACAACGAGAGCCTGCCTGAAGACACCTTTAAAAGGGAGACTACTGTGGATTGGCTGTCTATGATATATATGTTGGCGTACATTCCACTTATTTTTCCTTCCACTTTCCTGTTGAACAAGAAAGGATTGCGAGTTGTGGCTATATGTGGCTCCTTTCTGAACGCACTCGGGTCCTGCCTCAAACTAGCATGTGTTTCACCAGACAGATTTCCAGTATTGATGTTCGCTCAAACCGTTTGTGCAATAGCACAGATATTTATTCTAGGACTTCCGGCGCGGATTGCTGCCGTTTGGTTTGGACCAAATGAAGTGTCAACAGCCACATCACTTGGGGTGTTTGGGAACCAGGTAAGACTCCTTAGGGAAATGGTAAGTTTTGTTGTGTCAACAGCCACATCACTTGGGGTGTTTGGGAACCAGGTAAGACTCCTTAGGGAAATGGTATGTCTTGTTGTGTCAACAGCCACATCACTTGGGGTGTTTGGGAACCAGGTAAGACTCCTTAGGGAAATGGTAAGTTTTGTTGTGTCAACAGCCACATCACTTGGGGTGTTTGGGAACCAGGTAAGACTCCTTAGGGAAAAGGTAAGTTTTGTTTAATCGGAATTCATGAGCTAGAATATTATAGAAATTTTATAATGTAAAATACCGACATTTTCTTATCTCATATCCGACGTGAAAGTGTAAACGTTTTTTGAGAAATTTGATAAGAAAGAGAATTAGAGAACCTGTACAATTCCTTTGTAGAAATATGAGTTTATTGTGAAAACGAAAGCAGGAAATTAACGTTGCTAAGGTGATGGTGAACATTTTTATAATGACGGAAGATAATTACACACCTCAACCAAAAATTGCTAAGTAACATTAACGTTATTTCTCAATCTTCTTTACAGAAGCAACCTTGTTAAAATGTCAGTTTATTTTCAGTAACCAAGCTAGTTTTTTTTATACATTATCCGAGGTTGTGGTATATAGATACGTTATTTTCACTCGTTTAACAAAAACGAGCTTTAATTATCGTTTTTTGTAACTCTTGACAAAAATTAAGGGATGAAACAAGTAATATATATACTACAGTGTGACCTTTTTATACTATAATAATTTAAAACGTTCCGAGGATGAGTTGACCTGTTCTGTACCAAGGTGTGTTAGGTGTTTAGGTCGTTTTGCTACATGTTTAACTTTAACCAAAATATTTGTAGCCATATTTTAATTCATTACAATTAAAAGTAAGAAATAGATGACTTTGTAATTTTTCAATAAATTAAGATAAATTCATACTAAAATTAAATTATTACAAAAACAGTCGAAATTTACTAATTGCGCGTTTTAATGTTTGCGAGTGCGTGCAACATGCTTTCAGAGCAAAGTTGTCAAAGTTCAGCTTCTCAACCATTCAAAACAGCAGGAATGTCATATACAGCTGGTGGTTTATATCACATTTTTTTCTCATACTCTGGACAGGTATATCCACGGTTTTTACCAGTGAGAGATTTGCTTGCCTATTACATTGGACAGGTAGATCCACGTTTTTACCAGTGAGAGATTTGTTTGTCTATTACATTGGACAGGTAGATCCACGGTTTTTACCAGTGAGAGATTTGTTTGTCTATTACACTGGGCAGGTATGTCCATGGTTTTTACCAGTGTGACATTTTCTTGTATTGCTTTATATTTGAGACAAGGGATTCTCCTGGTATGATGCTACAAAAACATTTCACTGACGTTACGTCAACCATTCAATAATTCCGTCGTATCTACGACATTACGTCAACCTTTCAATTGCCCTGTCGTATCTACGACGTTACGTCAACCTTTGAATAACCCTGTCGTATCTACGACATTACGTCAACCTTTCAATTGCCCTGTCGTATCTACGACATTACGTCAACCTTTCAATTGCCCTGTCGTATCTACGACATTACGTCAACCTTTGAATAACCCTGTCGTATCTACGACGTTACATCAACCTTTCAATAACCCTGACGTATCTACGACATTACGTCAAACTTCCAATAACCCTGAATTAGTCATCTTTCCCTGCCTATTACGAGGAAGTGAAATAGTCTGCTGTTCCTTGTACAGGTGGGAGTAGCCGTCGGATTCTTGATCCCACCGTTAATAGTGAGAAACAGCGATGACCTGGATGAAATTGGAAACGACCTTTGGGCGATGTTTATAGGGACAGCTGTAGTCACGGGTAGTCTGTTCCTTTTAGTTATTCTAGGTAAGTCACGATGCTTTACTTCTATGTGTGATATAGTTAGATGCTTGGTATCATGCGGAATGGTCTCGATGTTCTCATTTGAGTAAGTGACATTATTGACAGGTGCCGTATGTGGATCAGGAGACCCTTACTTTTCCGGAACACCTGTTCTTATCATCTTTGTTCTTTTTCTAGGGTCTATGTGCAAATTATTTGTCTGTTTGTATTTTACCCACGTTTTATCAGTTTACCAAAATGAGTTACATAAATTTCATTTTGCCTACCTTTGCAAAGTACATTCAAGTGAGCGACGCAGACCCATCGAACCTCTTGTTTTAAGAAATATGTTGCATTTACATCTGGCACCGCAAACTGAATGTTTTGTTTATTTTGAAATTATTATGGTTTCAGTTTTTCGAGAAAGACCCCATACACCGCCAAGTAAGGCACAAATGATTGCAGTAGAAAATGAAGCCAATGAGCATTATGGGAAGTCACTTTTGAACCTGTTCAAAAACAGAGGTTTTGTGATACTGACTTTAACATATGGTGAGTAAAATCTGACTAAAAAAGAGACGATTAGTAACACTGATAGTACAAAGATGAGGTAGCATTTACACTTGATTGTGATACCCTCTCCCTCTCCTAGTCCGCTTCACTCTGGTCATATTTATTTTAGAACACAACATGAGTTTTGCCTCTGACATTAATATAAAGTAGACACAGTAAAACTTTATAAGATTTATGAAACTGACTATAGAAAATATCTATAAATACAGGATAATATTATGGAGATAAAACACTGTATTTTACAGGATGTTGTTTTAGCAAATGCTGTATTTTACAGGTATAAATACAGGATGTTACTATGGAGATAAAACACTGTATTTTACAGGATGTTGTTTTAGTAAATGCTGTATTTTACAGGTATAAATACAGGATGTTACTATGGAGATAAAACACTGTATTTTACAGGATGTTGTTTTAGTAAATGCTGTATTTTACAGATATAAATACAGGATGTTACTATGGAGATAAAACACTGTATTTTACAGGATGTTGTTTTGTTAAATGTTGTATTTTACAGGTATAAATACAGGATGTTACTATGGAGATAAAACACTGTATTTTACAGGATGTTGTTTTAGTAAATGCTGTATTTTACAGATATAAATACAGGATGTTACTATGGAGATAAAACACTGTATTTTACAGGATGTTGTTTTAGTAAATGCTGTATTTTACAGATATAAATACAGGATGTTACTATGGAGATAAAACACTGTATTTTACAGGATGTTGTTTTAGTAAATGTTGTATTTTACAGGTATAAATACAGGATGTTACTAATGGAGATAAAACACTGTATTTTACAGGATGTTGTTTTAGTAAATGTTGTATTTTACAGATATAAATACAGGATGTTACTATGGAGATAAAACACTGTATTTTACAGGATGCTGTTTTAGTAAATGCTGTATTTTACAGGTATAAATACAGGATGTTACTATGGTATATCAACATTACTTAACCCGGTCGTCCTGCACTATTTCCCGGTAAGTAAACACATATGTAATGATGTTTTTGTCCTCTGATATCTATGATGCCATTACGTGTCATATTCTGATCGATGTTCAAAAACATTTACGTCTATAATGCAGGCTCTGATTAGGAACTCGCATCAAAATTTGATGTCTTACTATAATCAGGTTACCCAACTGTCCATCTAAGTGTCCTTTTCAATTTCGGTGGAATATTTCAAGTTCTGTTGGGCCAATTGAACTCTAACTTTACCCAGTTTTTCTTTGAATGAAGTGCTTGCATGGGATTGGTTTAGGGCCTTGAAGTCAAATATCGAGGTCATTGTTACTATAAATAGAAAAACTCGGTTTCCATAATTCATAAAGATTTTCTCCATTACTTCTTCAGATGAAGTTTTCAGAGGTTTTTTCATGTTCGAAGGTGAAAAAAGTCAACGGGTAAAATATTTTACTGACAGATATAGTGTTATGATATCATGGAGCGTTAATAATTGAAAGCACATGGAGAGTCGGCCTACAACATTTAAAGGTCATCGGGAAAAATGTCAAATTCAATTTTGAGATATTTCACAAATATATTAGGTCAAACGTCAAAAAAAGTCAAATCACATTACTCGTGAATAATTTGGTATTTAATTGGAATCAAATGAGAAAGTCAAGGTCGCCGCATCAAAGATTAAAGTCAAATTTGAAACATTTATGTTTTTTGTAGGCAAGTTAGTGTGGCTATTTAAACAATAAACTGTTACTATGTGGAGTATACAGTTGATATGGAGCCGGGTGGAAGATAAATAGAATGGCGCCCGTAAGGTTATCATGTATCTATCCATTCGTGTGATCATAAATAACAAATGCATGAAACAGTCACAATTTAACTTGATTATCGATATAAAAGTGTAATCTCGCATTTTTTTTAATAATTACGTAATTTTAATTCAGTTTGTGTTGATTTTAAAACAGAAGCAGTTTAATGCGCATTGATATTTCATTAAAAGTGATGCGGCTCTCAGGCAGATTTCACGCAACGATGTGTCTAGTGTTTCTTTTCGAGTTATTTACGTTTTCGTGGCATGGAATGGATTAATCCGATTTTCATAACAGAATAATGACGGAGGTTATAAATAGAAGTTTATCCTGTCCGTTAGTGACGTCATTTTGTTTGTAACGGATTCTACATTTGTAGTTTGGACTGTCAGATTGACGTCTAGACTACTGAAGCAGACGAATTTGAAATTGATAATCTCATATATTATTTTGATAAATCAGATTTTGTGGCAAAATTACTTGTTGACAATAAATGTGTCCTGCTATAATTTGATAGGTTTGTAAAGTTACTTATATTTTGTGACCTTTTGTGACAACTTTGGACATTTCAGTACACTATACCGAAGTGAAAGTGACCAGCGGTCAGTTTTGTTTACCTTGGAGACATCTAGTTATGTTAATTCTAACACGAACGGAATCACTGTTATTTGTAGTATACAGTCTCCGTTCTACAATTTGGCGTATTAAAGTTATATAGGCGAATGTAACACAGAATGTGACTACTACATTTATATCTACCAGGATTACTTTTTTGGGTGGGCGTCACAACTTGACCACCGGATGTGTATTCATACACTTGACCAAATTTGGCGTTCATAGCCTGATAAACTCCCACCTGGTGTGTAACGCTCATGTTTAGAGTCTGACAAAACATGATACGCTTCTTGACATGTGTCATTATTCTAGTTTTATATGGCTTTAAATGTACATCCTATAACTAAATCTAACACGAATTAGTAAACATTTATCATTAAGGATTAGTATTCTCTTCTATATCCATAATTCAGATCTATTACTTTGATTGAGGTGTGTTGAAATACTGAAATGTTATATCTTATGACTAATTCAAGGGCGAAGAAGAGAACGCTGGCCTGATAGGATTGACCATCGTATTGGCTGGAGTAGCGGGGTCTATCGTTGCTGGAATATGGTTAGACAGGACCAAAACATTCAAGTATGCCAATTCTGTTCTGTATAACGACACTTTATGAAGATTTCCCGACAAAAAACCCCACACTTTTATTTAGCTAGGAAATCAATAACTCGCCTTCTCCGTTCGGTGCTATGATTTCTTTCTAACAATTCGAACGCCTGAAGCTAGATTACACGACGATGTCGTATCTCAAAGTCAAAGCTGTACCACACAATAAATCTCAGGATCTCAAAGTCAAAGCTGTACCACACAATAAATCTCAGGTTCTAAGTCAAAGCTGTACCACACAATAAATCTCAGGATCTCAAAGTCAAAGCTGTACCACACAATAAATCTCAGGATCTCAAAGTCAAAGCTGTACCACACAATAAATCTCAGGTTCTCAAAGTCAAAGCTGTACCACACAATAAATCTCAGGTTCTCAAAGTCAAAGCTGTACCACACAATAAATCTCACTAAGTCAAAGCTGTACCACACAATAAATCTCAGGATCTCAAAGTCAAAGCTGTACCACACAATAATCTCAAATCTCAGGAGCTGTCTCAAAGTCAAAGCTGTACCACACAATAAAATCTCAGGTACCACACAATAAATCTCAGGATCTCAAAGTCAAAGCTGTCTCAAAGTCAAAGCTGTACCACACAATTAATATCAGGTTCTAAAAGTCAAAGCTGTACCACACAATAAATCTCAGGATCTCAAAGTCAAAGCTGTACCACACAATTAATATCAGGTTCTAAGTCAAAGCTGTACCACACAATAAATCTCAGGATCTCAAAGTCAAAGCTGTACCACACAATAAATATCAGGTTCTAAAAGTCAAAGCTGTACCACACAATAAATCTCAGGATCTCAAAGTCAAAGCTGTACCACACAATAAATCTCAGGATCTCAAAGTCAAAGCTGTACCACACAATAAATCTCAGGTTCTAAAAGTCAAAGCTGTACCACACAATTAATCTCAGGTTCTAAAAGTCAAAGCTGTACCACACAATAAATATCAGGTTCTAAGTCAAAGCTGTACCACACAATAAATCTCAGGATCTCAAAGTCAAAGCTGTACCACACAATAAATCTCAGGTTCAAAGTCAAAGCTGTACCACACAATAAATCTCAGGTTCTAAGTCAAAGCTGTACCACACAATAAATCTCAGGATCTCAAAGTCAAAGCTGTACCACACAATAAATCTCAGGATCTCAAAGTCAAAGCTGTACCACACAATAAATCTCAGGATCTCAAAGTCAAAGCTGTACCACACAATTAATCTCAGGTTCTCAAAGTCAAAGCTGTACCACACAATAAATCTCAGGATCTCAAAGTCAAAGCTGTACCACACAATAAATCTCAGGTTCTCAAAGTCAAAGCTGTATCAGACATTTATTCTCTGGTTCTCAAAGTCTAGTTAGTGTAAACCTGTAGTTAGTGAAAACAAAAATGATTATCTCGATGAAAACAACAAGGACATCAGAAGAATAATAGGCACTAAAAATAAACTTGTCTACAAATCTACAGCAGGGAAATAAGCAATTAAGAAAGTTTTGTTGCATTCATGTTAACCACTGCTAAACTCTCAACTGGGACCAATATGCTAACCTGGCTTACGAGTCTGCTAACCAGACTTACCAGTTTGCTAACCAGGATTACGAATTTGCTTACCAGGATTACTAGTTTTCTTACCAGGTTAATCAGTTTGCTAACCTGATTTACCAACTTGCTGACCAGGCTTGAGAAATTGACTGCGGATTATAAGTATCAAGTCAAGATCCACATTTGCCAAGGCAAATGGATTGATTGAAAAAGAAAACAATAATATTGCGGACTGTTAAAACCTTTTTGCACAAATCGGACCACCCCTACAATGGCTGACTGGCGTACAGTCATCGATGAACTAGGACTGTCGCCCTTAAAATGTTTCATGATACTTTAGTCTAACTCTCTTACAACAGCTTCTTCGCTGTTGTCTTTCGACATGTCCCAAACAATAGACTACCAGGTTAGGATGATAAACCAGACGAAGAATGATGATTTTTTACTGTCATTTACACTGCGGACAGGAGTTATCTCCCCTGATACGTGATAAATGGCGACATTTGAAAAGTAAGAAAGGGTTTGCAGACAAAATAACCATAAAACATGTTTACGTAAGGAAACAGTTCAGAAGAAATGCAGGGAAACAGTTTATCAACAAAAAACGTCTTCACCAAATGTATATGATGTGTGAAAATGTGCCGGTTACAATAAATCGAGAACTCTGTGATAAATATCGATCGATGATATACATAGATATTCCAGTTCAACATACAGATGTATGACTAGAAAGTAGACAAAGTTTGGCCGAATTGACACTGATTGGCCAGGAAAATCATCAACTCGACCTGTTTTCAGCAAAATCGTATCACTGTGATTTCATCTAATTCGAAATTATTTAGAATTTTAAATCTTAATGAACAGAGTATGATAAGTTTATCGTCTGATGTTAAGATAAAGGTTGTTTAGTATTACGTATAAAAGCCGACTTTATGACGTCACTTCCGTTGTCTTACAGGGCGACAACTCTAGGGATATATTTCCTGTCCCTGGCGGGGATGATAGCATTTACATTCACCCTGGACCTCAGTCTCATGTGGGTGGTGTTCGTGTGCGGTGGATCCCTAGGGTTTGTATCATTGTTTTAATTGTCTCTGTCATTGATTTACAAATATCGCAGCGATTTTAGACGTTAACGAAAGAGTGCGTGATATAACGCGACAATCCGATACAAAATCCAATATTTTGCATTTATTGTTTGATCCTGAAATGAAAATTGATAGATAGTGAAAATGTAAATTTTGAAAATTCTCAAGGGCCAAATTTGTTAAAACATTCAAACGTTTTTTTCTGAACAACAACCACAAGGCCGAATAATGATAATAGTCGGATTGTTTCTTTGATGAAGATAAAGTTCAAAAATATATTCAAGGTCCCAAGAGTCAATTTTCTGTGGACATTCAAACATCATAAGATCATTTAAAAGCCTAGATTTATGTTGTTTAACTTCCTTTTGGGGAGCCCGACATAGTTAAAAGATTCATCTTAAACCACACGCAACGTCACACAGTTAAAAATGTTAAAACGGTGTCTCAGTAACTCGGTGATACGGAAATACATTGGAGCCAAGCATTGAAATGGAGGCCCTTTCAACCTCTAGTTTCAGTTTTATAGTATTTGGGTTACCCAAGTATGTAGCTGTTCGAAAAAATTCCTTATGAAATAAATAAAGTTTATCAACTAAATTAAGGTTTTATTATATAAATATCACGATTTCTTTAACCGTAATTAAGTAGTGTTGCGGTGACGTAATATAGACAGCAGACACTTATCTCACGCCCTACCTTCAGGGCAGTTATGTACATATAAACATGAGAAAAGTCAGGAAGGCAAATATTAAACTGTTTTCATTTTTTATTAAATATATCTTAATATATTTGAGTTCTGGAAAATTATCAGTAAATTAACTCCGAAAGAGTATAAAAGTATGAAAAATACATTGGGATACAAAGAAGTGCATGTAATGGAAAAGGTCTGGCTTTCAACATGGCTTTCCTGTCAACAAAACATCAACATCTGAAATGTTCCATTACAGTATATCCTGTGTGTATATATCACTGATATATTACCAGTTCTCCATCACAGGATATCCGGTGTGTATATATCACTGATATATTTCCAGTTCTCCATCACAGGATATCCGGTGTGTATATAACACTGATATATTACCAGTTCTCCATCACAGGATATCCGGTGTGTATATATCACTGATATATTACCAGTTCTCCATCACGGGATATCCGGTGTGTATATATCACTGATATATTTCCAGTTCTCCATCACAGGATATCCGGTGTGTATATAACACTGATATATTACCAGTTCTCCATCACAGGATATCCGGTGTGTATATATCACTGATATATTACCAGTTCTCCATCTCAGGATATCCGGTGTGTATATATCACTGATATATTACCAGTTCTCCATCACAGGATATCCGGTGTGTATATATCACTGATATATTTCCAGTTCTCCATCACAGGATATCCGGTGTGTATATAACACTGATATATTACCAGTTCTCCATCACAGGATATCCGTTGTGTATATGTCACTGATATATTACCAGTTCTCCATCACAGGATATCCGGTGTGTATATATCACTGATATATTTCCAGTTCTCCATCACAGGATATCCGGTGTGTATATAACACTGATATATTACCAGTTCTCCATCACAGGATATCCGGTGTGTATATATCACTGATATATTACCAGTTCTCCATCACAGGATATCCGGTGTGTATATATCACTTATATATTACCAGTTCTCCATCACAGGATATCCGGTGTGTATATAACACTGATATATTACCAGTTCTCCATCACAGGATATCCGGTGTGTATATATCACTTATATATTACCAGTTCTCCATCACAGGATATCCGGTGTGTATATATCACTGATATATTTCCAGTTCTCCATCACAGGATATCCGGTGTGTATATATCACTTATATATTTCCAGTTCTCCATCACAGGATATCCGGTGTGTATATAACACTGATATATTACCAGTTCTCCATCACAGGATATCCGGTGTGTATATATCACTTATATATTACCAGTTCTCCATCACAGGATATCCGGTGTGTATATATCACTTATATATTACCAGTTCTCCATCACAGGATATCCGGTGTGTATATAACATTGATATATTACCAGTGTCTTAAACAACTGTTTTTTGTGTCTTGTTTGCAGGTTTTTCATGACTGGTTATTTACCAGTTGGATTTGAGTTCGCGGCCGAAATTACATATCCGGAATCTGAAGGAACGTCTTCCGGTTTGCTGAATGCTTCTGCTCAAGTAAGTAGGCTTGCACCACTGGGCGTTATGTAATGCAGGTTAATTCATCCCTTGCCTTACTGTGTCTAATTCTAATTGTATTGTGTGTCTTTTGTACAATCTTCGAGATTTGCAGGTGGTATTTACGCCTAATTGACTTCCCGAGGTTTTAATTCAATGCACAATGCGCTGTTCAGAATATACACGTGTAATTGATGTCCTTAGAAAGTTTCTCAGTTTTGACATTTTTCTAATTTATTGATTTTTTTTGTTAGTTCTCCTTCCATTGCCTATATTGGATATTTACAGTCTTATCTTACAAATCCTTAAGATTATAGAGTAAACTCAAAACTCCCACTCTAGCAGAGACTAATTAAGTACACAATGGGCACGGAAAGTACAGAATTTACTGTTTAATCGTTACACCTGCAAATACTACATTTGTATCTGTCTCTGATTAAATCCGTGAACAGTACCTATCTCTGATTAAATCCGTGAATTGTACCTGTCTCTGATTAAATCCTGGAACTGTACCTGTCTCTGATTAAATCCTGGAACTGTACCTGTCTCTGATTAAATCCTTGAATTGTACCTGTCTCTGATTAAATCCGTGAACTGTACCTGTCTCTGATTAAATCCTGGAACTGTACCTGTCTCTGATTAAATCCGTGAACTGTACCTGTCTCTGATTAAATCCGTGAACTGTACCTGTCTCTGATTAAATCCGTGAACTGTACCGGTCTCTGATTAAATCCGTGAACTGTACCGGTCTCTGATTAAATCCGTGAACTGTACCGGTCTCTGATTAAATCCGTGAACTGTACCTATCTCTGATTAAGTTCGTGAACTGTACCTGTCTCGGATTAAATCTTTCATTTGTACCGGTCTCTGATTAAATCCGTGAACTGTACCTATCTCTGATTAAGTTCGTGAACTGTACCTGTCTCGGATTAAATCTTTCATTTGTACCAGTCTCTGATTAAATTCGTGAACTGTACCTGTCTCTGATTAAATCTGTGAACTGTACCGGTCTCTGATTAAATTCGTGATCTGTACCTGTCTCTGATTAAATCCGTGAACTGTACCTGTCTCTGATTAAATCTTTCATTTGTACCTGTCTCTGATTAAATCCGTGAACTGTACCTGTCTCTGATTAAATCCGTGAACTGTACCTGTCTCTGATTAAATCCGTGATCTGTACTTGTCTCTGATTAAATCCGTGAACTGTACCTATCTCTGATTAAGTTCGTGAACTGTACCTGTCTCGGATTAAATCTTTCATTTGTACCTGTCTCTGATTAAATTCGTGAACTGTACCTGTCTCTGATTAAATCCGTGAACTGTACCGGTCTCTGATTAAATTCGTGATCTGTACCTGTCTCTGATTAAATCCGTGAACTGTACCTGTCTCTGATTAAATCTTTCATTTGTACCTGTCTCTGATTAAATCCGTGAACTGTACCTGTCTCTGATTAAATCCGTGAACTGTACCTGTCTCTGATTAAATCCGTGAACTGTACCTGTCTCTGATTAAATCCTGGAACTGTACCTGTCTCTGATTAAATCCGTGAACTGTACCTGTCTCTGATTAAATCCGTGAACTGTACCGGTCTCTGATTAAATTCGTGATCTGTACCTGTCTCTGATTAAATCCGTGAACTGTACCTGTCTCTGATTAAATCTTTCATTTGTACCTGTCTCTGATTAAATCCGTGAACTGTACCTGTCTTTGATTAAATCCGTGAACTGTACCTGTCTCTGATTAAATCCTGGAACTGTACCTGTCTCTGATTAAATCCGTGAACTGTACCTGTCTCTGATTAAATCCGTGAACTGTACCTGTCTCTGATTAAATCCGTGAACTGTACCTGTCTCTGATTAAATCTTTCATTTGTACCTGTCTCTGATTAAATCCGTGAACTGTACCTGTCTCTGATTAAATCCGTGAACTGTACCTGTCTCTGATTAAATCCGTGAACTGTACCGGTCTCTGATTAAATTCGTGATCTGTACCTGTCTCTGATTAAATCCGTGAACTGTACCTGTCTCTGATTAAATCCTGGAACTGTACTTGTCTCTGATTTAATTCAGTATTAGTGTTAACGTTAGTTAATATTAGTGTTAGTTAAAGAGATACGATTGATTCTTTGTTTGAGCATGATTTTTGTCGTTGACGACCGATTTCATACAGGCGTCGATGATGAGGTAAAGTTGAATTTCCGAGTATTTGTAGGACTGATGCAAGTTATTGAACACCTCAGCTTATCCTAGGAATATTTCTGGTTTGATAACAGCTATAGACGACCTCATTTATCTAAACAACAGCTAGTAGCCGTCCTATTTCATCTGAACACTAGTTGTTTTTATTTATCTGCAAAATAGCGAGTAGTGGTTCTTATCTATCCAGGTACGTTTTTACACCAGGTACCTGCGCTCTCAGTAACATTAGATCGAACGGAATATGTTAGAGAAGAAAGAAGAATGATGAAGAAAATCAACACATACTCAGCGTTATTACAATGGTTTTATCCAAGATATTAATATTTAATACATTTAATAGTTATGTAGTGTATTTTAATGATAATTACATTCCTCGAGTTTCCTAGCAAAAATGATCGCATTTATTCATTAATGTAATATCTTATTGTTCATGTTTGATGGGATTGTTTAGCTCACCTGGCCAGAATGGCTAAGTGAGCTATACTGTTACTGAGGCGTCCGGCGTCCGTCATCTTTTCCTATAAATTGCAACCATTCATGAACGGCTGAGTGGATTTAAAACAAATTTAGTCTGAAGCATCCTTGGGGGGAGTGAAATCATAAAAAAAGTTGGTCCGGAGCTGAAGGGTCGGGCCGAATAGGGAAAATATTGATAACTTCCCAACACAACCAAGCAAACATGATAAACTAAGAACAAGGGTGTTTGGATAAAACGGGAGCAATAGAAACAACAATCACTACATGAAATATAAACAATCTTGTTTCCATGGATACCTATCAACCGATGATCTATTTCAGACGTTTGGAATTATTTTGACGATCAGCATGCGAGCCATGCTGTCCAATGTTAGTGTTCTAGGAGCTAACTTGACTGTTTCTGGTGTTCTTCTTCTCGGCACCATCTTAACATGTAAGTATACATAGGTGCAAAGGTTATTATACCCTACATGATTAAACAAAAATTACAGAAAAGAATTAACTATCAGCTTTATTCCTTACCTCGTAATTCCCCCTTTTTAATAATGTTTAATCAGTATAATATATTGTACAATAATACTGAATATATGATAAATAAAATTAATTTATGTGTAAGAAAAATGTTATCCATAACTTCAATGCATAGAGGATATTTAAGTGTCTTCAACAAAAACATATGTTTCACATGTGTGTAATATTCAAGTATCTTTGCGCACGAGTGAAAGTTACAAAAAACGTTAGACACACGAATGAAATATATTTGTTATTACTGGAGACACTCTTACTAATCTATTTATAACATTTTCACAAGCAAAAAAGCCAAATTCCTGGCATATTTAGGACTGACATAAAAGGACGGAGCTGACTATGCTTTTCGCGGACACGACTCACTCATTATAACTTGGCAGTACGCTACAAAATAAAGTCCATTTAAAAATTAAAATGTATAAAGCTGAAAAAATCAGTTAGATTTAATTTTATATTCTCATTAAAATGCTATATATGTCACGAACAGACAACATTTGCTGTAAAACGTTTTAACAGAGTTCAACAATAATGGTTTGAAACCAGTTACTATGGGACGACCGTGGTGGTCGCTGTCACGAATCCTCTTGTCTAGCTCCGGTTTCTAGTTTTAGGTTTTTTTTGTACCGGACTTTATGATTTGTCAGTTTTATAAGATGGTTTGTGTTCTCTCTTTTCATTTTTTTAGATCTGCAAAAATATTATTTTTCACTAAGACATGTATATCTTTCAAATATATGATATTCCTGTATATTTCATTGGCAAAAATGTTAGGAATACTTATCTATGCACGTCAGTGTGTCCAGTTTATCCAGGTACTCTAATCGACGTTCTGAACGTACCTTTCCAAATTCTTTACAACCATGTTTTAGTTCAAATCTATTCTAGATAATTCTTCAATCTTTTTCACAATTTATTTTGAGATAATAAAAAGACAAATACATTCCTGTTTGATGACGGACGAATGTTGTTCATTAAATGATACTGAAAAGTCGAGCACATTTCTGACGGTGTGGTGTAGTGATTGTAACGACATATTCGATATCGCCAGTTATGATGACAAGTGTTTCTCCGAGGCATTCAGTGTGTTATATGACTGATTTAAATTCCCTTTGTCAGGTTTTATTGGTGCGGACTATCGACGTCAGGCCGCTGGAAAGGAGGTATATAGTATAAACACGCCCTTGAATACGGAGGCATCCCATAATAATAGTTACACTGACAACAAAACAAAATAAGTACCAGTATGTCAAAATAGTTCATATACCACGTCACTGTACCACACTACCCAGTGCCACGTCACTGTACCACACTACCCAGTACCACGTCACTGTACCACACTACCCAGTACCACGTCACTGTACCACACTACCCAGTACCACGTCACTGTACCACACTACCCAGTACCACGTCACTGTACCACACTACACAGTACCACGTCACTGTACCACACTACCAAGTACCACGTCACTGTATCACACTACCCAGTACCACGTCACTGTACCACACTACCCAGTACCACGTCACTGTATCACACTACCCAGTACCACGTCACTGTACCACACTACCCAGTACCACGTCACTGTACCACACTACCCAGTACCACGTCACTGTATCACACTACCCAGTACCACGTCACTGTATCAAACTACCCAGAACCCTGTCACTCTATCACACTACCCAGTACCACGTCACTCTATCACACTACCCAGTACCACGTCACACTACCCAGTACCACGTCACACTACCCAGAACCCTATCACTGTATCACACTACCCAGTACCACGTCACTTTACCACACTACCCAGTACCACGTCACCCTACCCAGTACCACGTCACACTGCCTAGTACCACGTCACACTACACAGTATCACGTCACTGTACCACACTACCCAGTACCACGTCACTGTACCACACTACCCAGTACCACGTCACCCTACCCAGTACCACGTCACACTGCCTAGTACCACGTCACACTACACAGTATCACGTCACTGTATCACACTACCCAGTACCAAGTCACACTACCCAGTACCACGTCACTGTATCACACTACCCAGTACCAAGTAACACTACCCAGTACCACGTCACTGTATCACACTATCCAGTACCACGTCACTGTATCACACTACCCAGTACCACGTCACTGTATCACACTACCCAGTACCAAGTCACACTACCCAGTACCACGTCACTGTATCACACACAGTACTCACACTATCCAGTACCACGTCACTGTATCACACTACAGTACCAGTCACTTTACCACAGTCACCCTACTACCACGTCACACTGCCTAGTACCACGTCACACTACACCACGTCACTGTATCACACTACCCAGTACCAAGTCACACTACCCAGTACCACGTCACTGTATCACACTACCCAGTACCAAGTCACACTACCCAGTACCACGTCACTGTATCACACTACCCAGTACCAAGTCACACTACCCTGTACCACGTCACTGTATCACACTACCCAGTACCACGTCACTGTACCACACTACCCAGTACCACGTCACTGTACCACACTACCCAGTACCACGTCACTGTACCACACAGCCCAGTAGTGAGGAATATTTACCTGCATATGATGCTGTGGATTATTTCCCTCGCTATGTAATAATCTGATTTCCTTCAACGTATTTTCTGTAACAATAAGGTTTTTACCAGAATATAGATCTGTTTCAACTAAATCGTTTTGATTAATTGACTCTTTTATGTTATAGCTAGTGTTGTGTAACATTTTGTTTCTGTACAACCCTTAGTCTTACAATGTTCTCAGTGTTGTATGATTTGTCAGATAGAGAGTATAGGACAGTGTACATCAGAAACAAAGATTCTCCCTGCCTTCACTGATACTTATCTGACTGCAATAACCTTCTGCTTAATTGTAGATCATCGAAGAATTAGACAATATTGAATATGAAGTTCCTGCTCCAGAGAAGAAATCAGACGAACTGAGCGTATTATAAAATGGAGAAAGGTATCGGAAAAAAACCATTCCAAAACTGGTCAGCAGAGTTATTTAATTGCTTTTGTATTCATTGGACTGTTGTACTGTGACACATGTGTAGTAGTTAGAACACATGGTACGTAACACGTGTAATAATTGGAATACACATGATACGTAACACATGTGTAGTAATTTGAACACACATGGTACGTAACACGTGTTGTTATTTGAATACACATGACACGTAACACATGTGTAGTAATTTGAATACACATGGTACGTAACACGTGTTGTAATTTGAATACACATGACACGTAACACATGTGTAGTAATTTGAATACACATGATACTAACACATGTGTAGTAACTTGAACACGCATGGTACGTTACATATGTGTAGTAATTTGAATACAAATGATACGTAGCACGTGCAGTAATTTGAACACACATGGTACATAACATAACACATATGTAGTAATTTGAATACACATGGTACGTAACACGTGTGTAGTAATTTGAAAACATATGATACGTGACACACGTATAGTAATTTGAAAACACATGACACATATCACGTGTAGTAATCGTGTAGTAATTTGCATACACATGTTACGTAACACGTATACTTTGAATACATATAGATGTATTACTTGTATAGTGCTTTGTGTTTGTATGTACACGTTTTTTTAGTTTATTCAGTATCTGTGACAAATATCACCATTGTATTACTGTGTCGTTCGGTACGATTTCTATGTATACGTTTCTATGTTAACGCAGTTCACTGTAGAGTGTGCAACGTTATAATGTGGCTGTTGTGACGAATGTGTCTCAATTTTATGACAGATATCTTATTACTTTAATTGTGATCCTGGCCTATCTAAACCTTAGTTCCTAAAGGTGTTGTGCTACTCAAACCTTAGTTCCTAAAGGCGTTGTGCTATTTACACCTTAGTTCCTAAAGGTGTTGTGCTATTTACACCTTAGTTCCTAAAGATGTTGTGCTATTTAAACCTTAGTTCCTAAAGGTGTTGTGCTATTTAAACCTTAGTTCCTAAAGGTGTTGTGCTACTCAAACCTTAGTTCCTAAAGGTGTTGTGCTACTCAAACCTTAGTTCCTAAAGGCGTTGTGCTATTTACACCTTAGTTCCTAAAGGTGTTGTGCTATTTAAACCTTAGTTCCTAAACGTGTTGTACTACTCAAACCTTAGTTCTTTAAGGTGTTGTGCTATTTGTTGTATTATATAAACCTTGGTTCATGTATGTGTTTTGTTATATAAACCTTGGTTACTGTATGTGTTGTGTTATATAAACCTTGGTTCATGTATGTGTTGTGTTATATAAACCTTGGTTCATGTATGTGTTGTGTTATATAAACCTTGGTTCATGTATGTGTTGTGTTATATAAACCTTGGTTCATGTATGTGTTGTGTTATATAAACCTTGGTTCATGTATGTGTTGTGTTATATAAACCTTGTTCATGTATGTGTTGTGTTATATAAACCTTGGTTCACGTATGTGTTATGTGTTGGTGTATATGTTGTGTTATAAACCTTGGTTCATGTATGTGTTGTGTTATATGAAATTTGGTTAATGTATGTGTTGTGTTATATAAACCTTGGTTCATGTATGTGTTTTGTTATATAAACCTTGGTTCATGTATATAAACCTTGGTTCATGTATGTGTTGTGTTATATAAACCTTGGTTCATGTATGTGTTGTGTTATATAAACCTTGGTTCATGTATGTGTTGTGTTATATAAACCTTGGTTCACGTATGTGTTGTGTTATATAAACCTTGGTTCACGTATATGTTGTGTTATACAAACCTTGGTTCATGTATGTGTTGTGTTATATGAAATTTGGTTAATGTATGTGTTGTGTTATATAAACCTTGGTTCATGTATGTGTTTTGTTATATATGCCTTTGTTTATGTGTGTGTTGTGTTATATATACCTAGGTTTATGTTTACAAATTATGTATAATGCTTGTATGTCTGTGGGTTTGGATGATGATAATTTTAATATATATATTTAATGATAAAAATTCTTTTTGGTCGAACATATGTTGAGATAAAATGTTGGTATCTCTCTTGATGTAGTATAGAATTCTCATGTGAAAGTGGCATAGTTTTTTTTATCGTAATTGATGTTAAATCAAAGGCGTTTTAATCAGCCTTTTGGTATTAAGATTGGAAGATCTCATTTTGTATATAAACAACTTCCTGTTTTTCTTTTGCCTCAGAACTTTTGCTCCTTGTATATTACTTCTTACTGTAGGTAGAATTTATAATTATTACAGCCATCTTAGTGTCCAAGTCGTTTTTGATAAACATGATTTATTACAAATTTTGTGACGCGAAGTCATTCAGTTCCCTATTTTGATTTGTATTATTGCCTACAGCCTTTATAATGCGGCCATTTTAAAACTGAATGATTTCATGGTCTACGTTCGAATGGAGGCATTTAATCAATAGAAAATACATATAACTAAATCACACATTGGTAATTAGTTTTAAGACTGTACCACTCGTTGGAGAGTGGGGGGTGAGCTTTTTTCTATTTTTCTATCTAAAACACACCTCATAAATGACGTCAACATAATTAAACTGATTTGAACTTTCTTGGTGTTGAGGGAAAGCACTTCTAAAGTGCTAATTATAGATCTGAACTCCAGAGGACTGAAAAATGTCCCCACAAGATTGGATTGCCTTTAATACATGAAATTTCTTTATAGCTCTAATACCTGTTATCCGACTTTGTGAATTTTGTTTTGATCAGACTCCCGTTATCACCTGAAGAGATTGCATTTAACATGGTTTGTTATATCAGCCTGTTAATTCTGCTAAGCCGCCTTTTAAATTCATGTGAGGGATGCGGGTTTACTATCACACCACAAACTGATGCGAAATGGCACACAAACGTTGTTTTCTGGATAATAAGATCATGTATTTGAAGGTAGAGTTCATTTTTTGAAGATTAATGTCCGGTTTTTGGAGTTAAACTTCATGTTTTTGGAGGTCGACTTCATATTTTTGGAGTTTAACCTAACGTTTTTAAAAGTTGACTTCGTGTTTTTGGAGTTAAACCTCATGTTTTTGAAAGTTTACTTCATATTTTTGGAGTTTAACCTAGCGTGTTTGAAAGTTGACTTCGTGTTTTTGAAGGTAAACGACATGTTTTTGAAGGTAAACGACATGTTTTTGGAGGTCGACTTCATATTTTTGGAGTTAAACTTCATGTTTTTGAAGGTTGACTTCATATTTTTGGAGTTAAACTTCATGTTTTTGAAAGTTCACTTCATGTTTGTGAAGTTTAACCTTGTGTGTATTAGGGCAGTTTTATGGTGCTTACGTTAGCTTTCTCCTTTCTTGCCAAAAGTTCATGTTGGTATATTTTAATTCATTACCCAGGAAAAAAAATATTCTCATTCGTTGTCGATATTATATACTTGTTTGTAAAAATCGCTGAGGTTTGTAAATATCCTCTTTTTGTACTAATATCACTTTTCTCGTGTATTTTACTTGGAATCTTTATGATAAGAAATCCAAGAATTATCGTTTAGATGTCTAATAAATCCAGATATCAGTAATATAGTAATAAAATCAACGCTAGGTACTTCTTTTATATTTTAATAAAATCAAAACGAGAGAGTGTCATGTTTACGTGTTTCTATTCCGCTTTATTAAACAAGGGACCGACAGTTTTTTTGAGGAAGAAAAAAATCACCATGTATTTATAGTGAAAAATAATTTCAATTTTTTTTCTATATTCACCCTTCCCAGATGTCGGACCAGAGTGTTACAGAGAAGATTTCGAAGATTACCGTCGTTTATTGTGATGAGTTTAAAAGTGTTTATTATAAAGCTCCAACATTATTCACGAGTATAAGGACACGTCAAATAGATCTATTGCTTCATTATTTAATTCAATAAAATCCAATAGAAATGTTATAAAAATGTCTGTCGTGTTACTCGAAACGTGTAGTAAAATTCTAATTCCTAGTGATCATGCATGACTTATACTATGGGGCACGAATTCCCGAATGACATTGACTCTATGGTTTACTTTTCCTAAGAAGACGATATTCAAGTAATATAACTGTAAATACATCCTTACCTAAAGAAAATAAAATGAGTGATTTTAAAACAGATGATAATCTTAAATTCTGTGTACAACGTGGCGAATCTATCATTGACATATGAATCCAGTGGTAAATGTAAACAATGGACACAATCAGTGGTCGGTGACAAAGTAGGATAGGCTTTAAAACATGGCCAGGTTTAATAGTAATTCGATGAGTGACAACATGGTGCCTGCACTCTAATAAAACTCTCCATACATTTACATCGATTACGACTGGCGTGCAGGAACTGGTTTTAAACCAACCTTTCTATATAGGTAATTGTTAATTCGCGTGGTTATTAGAGCGTGTCTTCTCGGCTATTGTTGACCGCCTGTTAAAACGATACTGATGTGCATCAGATAAGCAGGTGGATTGTTTAAGGTCAGTCTCAACTGTGGTTACAGTAAACGAATGTGTTAATGACTAATATAATTCACAGAATACATTGAAGTGTAATTTAAGTTACTTCAGAAATCAGATGGAGGTGGAAGCATCAGACCTGCATTCGATCCTTAACATATGAACCTATGACCTATTGTGTTCGGTAACGAGTGTAAGCCGACTAACTCCTGATCGCGTTGGGCTTGAGATAAGCTGGTGAGGAGATTAGGAGCGTTATAGTCACTAACAGCGATGAAGTCTTGACTACATATCGACGGTCTTCCCTTCGCGTTCAAAGTGCGCTTCATCATCATCAACTATAACAGTTCTAACGCCATGATACAACCAGTAAGAAAGACCGACACAGGTAATACTTTCCGTTCGTATCCATCTTAAACAAAAGAAGAGCATTTTATCTTTAAACCAATGTCAGAGTAATCGTTTGTATTTCTGTGCTCACTCTAGGTTACCCTCGTGTACTACACTCATCTGTGATCACTCTAGGTTACCCTCGTGTACTACACTCATCTGTGATCACTCTACGTTACCCTCGTGTACTACACTCATCTGTGATCACTCTACGTTACCCTCGTGTACTACACTCATCTGAAATCACTCTAGGTTACCCTCGTGTATTACACTCATCTGTAATCACTTTAGGTTATAAAGGTCCACGTCTATATTACATCACAGTAGGTGTCAGACTGACAGTGTTACTACAGGTCCACGTCTATATTACATCACAGTAGGTGTCAGTCCACTATATTACATCACAGTAGTGTTACTACAGGTCCACGTCTATATTACATCACAGTAGGTGTCAGACTGACAGTGTTACTACAGGTCCACGTCTATATTACATCACAGTAGGTGTCAGACTGACAGTGTTACTACAGGTCCACGTCTATATTACATCACAGTAGGTGTCAGACTGACAGTGTTACTACAGGTCCACGTCTATATTACATCACAGTATGTCAGACTGACAGTGTTACTACAGGTCCACGTCTATATTACATCACAGTAGGTGTCAGACTGACAGTGTTACTACAGGTCCACGTCTATATTACATCACAGTATAAGTCAGACTGACAGTGTTACTACAGGTCCACGTCTATATTACATCACAGTAGGTGTCAGACTGACAGTGTTACTACAGGTCCACGTCTATATTACATCACAGTATAAGTCAGACTGACAGTGTTACTACAGGTCCACGTCTATATTACATCACAGTAGGTGTCAGACTGACAGTGTTACTACAGGTCCACGTCTATATTACATCACAGTAGGTGTCAGACTGACAGGTCCACGTCTATATTACATGTGTCAGACTGACAGTGTTACTACAGGTCCACGTCTATATTACATCACAGTAGGTGTCAGACTGACAGTGTTACTACAGGTCCACGTCTATATTACATCACAGTAGGTGTCAGACTGACAGTGTTACTACAGGTCCACGTCTATATTACATCACAGTAGGTGTCAGACTGACAGTGTTACTACAGGTCCACGTCTATATTACATCACAGTAGGTGTCAGACTGACAGTGTTACTACAGGTCCACGTCTATATTACATCACAGTAGGTGTCAGACTGACAGTGTTACTACAGGTCCACGTCTATATTACATCACAGTAGGTGTAGTATTACACGTCTATATTACATCACAGGTATATTACATCAGACTGACAGTGTTACTACAGGTCCACGTCTATATTACATCACAGTAGGTGTCAGACTGACAGTGTTACTACAGGTCCACGTCTATATTACATCACAGTAGGTGTCAGACTGACAGTGTTACTACAGGTCCACGTCTATATTACATCACAGTAGGTGTCAGACTGACAGTGTTACTACAGGTCCACGTCTATATTACATCACAGTAGGTGTCAGACTGACAGTGTTACTACAGGTCCACGTCTATATTACATCACAGTAGGTGTCAGACTGACAGTGTTACTACAGGTCCACTATATTACATCACAGTAGGTGTCAGACTATTACATCACAGTAGGTGTCAGACTGTTACAGTGTTACTACAGGTCCACGACAGTGTTACTACAGGTCCACGTCTATATTACATCACAGTAGGTGTCAGACTGACAGTGTTACTACAGGTCCACGTCTATATTACATCACAGTATCAGTCAGACTGACAGTGTTACTACCGGCCCACGTCTATATTACATCACAGTATGTGTCAGACTGACAGTGTTACTACCGGCCCACGTCTATATTACATCACAGTAGGTGTCAGACTGACAGTGTTACTACCGGTCCACGTCTATATTACATCACAGTAGGTGTCAGACTGACAGTGAGGTCCACGTCTATATTACATCACAGTAAGTCAGACTACAGTGTCCACGTCTATATTACATCACAGTAGGTCTATATTACATGTCAGACTGACAGTGTTACTACAGGTCCACGTCTATATTACATCACAGTATAAGTCAGACTGACAGTGTTACTACCGGCCCACGTCTATATTACATCACGGTAGGTGTCAGACTGACAGTGTTACTACAGGTCCACGTCTATATTACATCACAGTAGGTGTCAGACTGACAGTGTTACTACAGGTCCACGTCTATATTACATCACAGTAGGTGTCAGACTGACAGTGTTACTACAGGTCCACGTCTATATTACATCACAGTAGGTGTCAGACTGACAGTGTTACTACAGGTCCACGTCTATATTACATCACAGTAGGTGTCAGACTGACAGTGTTACTACAGGTCCACGTCTATATTACATCACAGTAGGTGTCAGACTGACAGTGTTACTACAGGTCCACGTCTATATTACATCACAGTAGGTGTCAGACTGACAGTGTTACTACAGGTCCACGTCTATATTACATCACAGTAGGTGTCAGACTGACAGTGTTACTCCAGGACCACGTCTATATTACATCACAGTAGGTGTCAGACTGACAGTGTTACTACAGGTCCACGTCTATATTACATCACAGTATCAGTCAGACTGACAGTGTTACTACATGACCACGTCTATATTACATCACAGTAGGTGTCAGACTGACAGTGTTACTACAGGTCCACGTCTATATTACATCACAGTAGGTGTCAGGCTGACAGTGTTACTACAGGTCCACGTCTATATTACATCACAGTAGGTGTCAAACTGACAGTGTTTCTACAGGTCCACGTCTATATTACATCACAGGTGTCGAATTTTTAGATCTACATTTCAATATTGTAATGTTTTTCTATGGTACAGCCATTCGCTTGGCGGAAAGGATGACTCTTTGATAGATTATATAGTTGAGAATCCAATATTTTTCCTCTTCTTATTTGAAGCCTTTTTAAAGAAATTCTTCATGAAATGAAATATGATAAATGTATGATATTCGTTTCAGTATTTAACAAGCATTGCCTGTAGTGATGTCTGAATCTCCTGTGGTTACCAAACAAGTCCGATATAAGAATGACGCTGTGGCAGCCTCCATAAAAAACATTCGGGAACAGAAAGGTCTAGAGAGACAGCTCACACAAATAGAGAAACATTGGCACCTGGAACTCAAGCATCTGACACGTGAAAAACTTGAAGTCACATACGAACTCACCCGACTGGAGGAGGAAAAACAAAACTTAGAATATCTTAACGAGGAGGTCGAGGGGGACAGTCTAAAAACCTATACGGACAACATCCGGGACAAAAACGGTCAACAAAAGGAGGAGGATAAACAGATTGATAGGTTTAATTATCAAAATTCGGAATTAAACAAGGTGCAGTTACGACTTCCTGATGTTCATAAACCTTTACATATATTAAAGGAAAATGGATTACATCAGTCAATGCCGGTGGCAAAGAAACCTAAACTGTACAGATCCAACTCAATACTGAGACATCACTCGGAAAATAATGTCAGTTTTCCTACTGAAACTAAAATAATTCGGACGGAATCAAAAGAAAACGTAAAGAATATAAGTTTACCTGATATCATGTGTTCTGACCAGAGTAAAACCAAGTTTGTGCGCATGATAGAGAAAGATGTGGAACGTTTCATCAGTACTGACCATAACGTGGTGCAAACTCCGAGTACTCCACATTCTAAATATTATAGACGAAAGAAGCAACTTTCATTTCCGCCCCTTAGCGATATGCGTGACAGACGACACACGGTGCTGTAATTCTTTGGTTTCTGTGAATAAAGACAATATTCTCTTATTCTGCACACAAGGAACCCGGGATAAATATTCCTACTTTTCTAACAGTTAATCCGTGTTGATGTTTCCCGTCGTGCAGTGTGTACCTGTTTACTGTGATGGATTATACCAATATATAGTGTTTCTGCACGCGTTACAAGTCTGATAACCTATTTCTCTGTAAGGCTTTTATCCTTGGTGCCATAATTATACAGTAATAATGATATTACAATAATGGGTACATATACTTGCTTGAAATAAATGAAATAAACACATTTTAGAATTCTTTTATAATACAGCATAAAACCCTAAAAAGAATAATAATACATTAGGGTGCTTGTAAAATATCACCCCAAACTAGTACACTTCCACCACCACAATTATCACCCCAAACTAGTACACTTCCACCACCACAATTATCACCCCAAACTAGTACACTTCCACCACCACAATTATCACCCCAAACTAGTACACTTCCACCACCACAATTATCACCCCAAACTAGTACACTTCCACCACCACAATCATAACCCCAAACTAGTACACTTCCACCACCACAATTATCACCCCAAACTAGTACACTTCCACCACCACAATTATCACCCCAAACTAGTACACTTCCACCACCACAATTATCACCCCAAACTAGTACACTTCCACCACCACAATTATCACCCCAAACTAGTACACTTCCACCACCACAATTATCACCCCAAACTAGTACACTTCCACCACCACAATTATCACCCCAAACTAGTACACTTCCACCACCACAACCACCCCAAACTAGTACACTTCCACCACCACAATTATCACCCCAAACTAGTACACTTCCACCACCACAATTATCACCCCAAACTAGTACACTTCCACCACCACAATTATCACCCCAAACGAGTACACTTCCACCACCACAATTATCACCCCAAACTAGTACACTTCCACCACCACAATTATCACCCGAAACTAGTACACTTCCACCACCACAATTATCACCTCCAACCAATACACTTCCACCACCACAATTATCACCCCAAACAATACACTTCCACCACCACAATTATCACCCCAAACTAGTACACTTCCACCACCACAATCATATTCCCAAACTAGTGCACTTCCACCACCACAATTATCACCCCAAACTAGTACACTTCCACCACCACAATTATCACCCGAAACTAGTACACTTCCACCACCACAGTTATCACCCTAAACTAGTACACTTCCACCACCACAGTTATCACCCCAAACTAGTACACTTCCACCACCACAGTTATCACCCCAAACTAGTACACTTCCACCACCACAATTATCACCCCAAACTAGTACACTTCCACCACCACAATTATCACCCCAAACTAGTACACTTCCACCACCACAATTATCACCCGAAACTAGTACACTTCCACCACCACAATTATCACCTCCAACCAATACACTTCCACCACCACAATTATCACCTAGTACACTTCCACCACCACAATCATATACACTTCCACCACCACAATTAACTAGTACACTTCCACCACCACAATTATCACCTCCAAACAATACACTTCCACCACCACAATTAACCTTACACTTCCACCACCACCTCCAACCAATACACTTCCACCACCACAATTATCACCCGAAACTAGTACACTTCCACCACCACAATCATAACCCCAAACTAGTACACATCCACCACCACAATTATCACCCCAAACCAATATACGTCCACCACCACAATTATCACCCCAAACCAGTACACTTCCACCACCATAATTATCACCCCAAACCAATATACGTCCACCACCACAGTTATCACCCCAAACTAGTACACTTCCACCACCACAATTATCACCTCCAACCAATACACTTCCACCACCAAAATTATCACCTCCAACCAATACACTTCCACCACCACAATCATAACCCCAAACTAGTACACTTCCACCACCATAATTATCACCCCAAACCAATACGGCACAATTATCTAATGTGTAAGACACGAAGCTGTGTGATAGACCGGCACAATTATCTGGTGTGTAGGTCACGAAGCTGTGTGATAGACCGGCACAATTATCTGGTGTGTAGGTCACGAAGCTGTGTGATAGACCGGCACAATTATCTGGTGTGTAGGTCACGAAGCTGTGTGATAGACCGGCACAATTATCTGGTGTGTAGGACACGAAGCTGTGTGATAGACCGGCACAATTATCTGGTGTGTTGGACACGAAGCTGTGCGATAGACCGGCACAATTATCTGGCGTGTAGGTCACGAAGCTGTGCGATAGACCGGCACAATTATCTGGCGTGTAGGTCACGAAGCTGTGTGATAGACCGGCACAATTATCTGGTGTGTAGGACACGAAGCTGTGTGATAGACCGGCACAATTATCTGGCGTGTAGGTCACGAAGCTGTGTGATAGACCGGAACAATTATCTGGTGTGTAGGACACGAAGCTGTGCGATAGACCGGCACAATTAACTGGTGTGGGGAATCTAAAGTTGGTTTCCAGTTCCTAATTGCTTACTCCTTTTTACCTTAAACACAACTAGGATAAGGTTCTCACTTTTTCTGAAACTGATTTATTTCCCAATTACCAACGGAGATTTACCTCCCAATTCCGTTTTTAAGGGAACCAGGTTCTGGTAACACTAGACTACGTGGTTTTTTTGTTGCCTGACGCTGATTTGATGAGTGTATTATCCCAATGGACCACTGTTCGATTTTCGGTGACGTAACAGATACAGCCCACTGACCCTTCCTCGGGCTGATCAAGACTTGTAGAACAAAGAATGTTTGAAATAATATATAGGTGATATAGGGTGGACTGGCTCGCTGTTTTAGCGGGGCAGATTAAAACACTTCTTAACAAATAATATTTTTATTATATATTGGTATTAAAGTGCCAAAGGTATTACAGGTATGTAGGTAGCGACGTCAACATATATGATTCCTGGTCAAACCATATGTGTTGTGGTATTGAAACTTAATCGGATCAGAGAAAACATATCGTGTTACAAAGGTCGCTCCTGTTCTCAACCTCTCAAAACTATGGATAGATATCAGAAAAAATTCTCGTCAAAAAGCAGGATTAGAATAAAGTGATCCGGGGTCTATATGTATTATTGCTGTAGTAAACTATTGAGTGTGTATTGATAGATTGATTGACAGGTTTTCCGTCTCCGTGACTCCTCCCTCATCCGGGTAACGTCTCACCGATGAACGTCTCCGTGACTCCTCCCGTGTCCGGGTACCGTCTCACCGATGAACGTCTCCGTGACTCTTTCCGTATCCTGGTATCGTCTCACCGACGAACGTCTCCGTGACTTCTCCCGTGTCCGAGTACCGTCTACACCGACGAATGTCTCCGTGACTCATCCCGTATCCTGGTACCGTCTCACCGACGAACGTCTCCGTGACTCCTCCCTTGTCCGAGTACCGTCTCACCGATGAACGTCTCTGTGACTCCTCCCGTGTCTGGGTAACGTCTCGCCGATTAACGTCTCCGTGACTCCTCCCGTATCCGGGGACCGTCTCATCGATGAACGTCTCCGTGACTCCTCCCGGTCCGGGTACCGTCTCACCAACGTACGTAAGTGTTCTGGCGAAGTAAGGGGGCAATCTGCATCCTCCTTAGTGGAGTGGAACTTCTGAAGCGGTGATCGTTTGGTTATACTAGTTTTGGTAGACGACTCCAGGGCCGAATATTCCCTTATCCTAACTCTAGTAGTTCAAACATCTCCAGAATCTGAAAGGGAGAGTTGGGGGCCTATCTACATTTGGTTTGTGTTTCATTGTATAGTCTGACACTATCCCTAGACACATGGACCGCCGTTATCACGCCTACTCTTTTTCCAGAAGTCACAGAGGGATCTTAAGTAGGAGAGTGGACAATTTTCAAACGGTCTACCGTTTTAAGTCCCATCCGCCGGACTATGGTTTCTCTTGAAAACCTATCCAATCATATTAACTTAGCTACTTTACAAATGTCTATTGCTTTCTGTGATTCCACTCCATTCCTTCTGCATACTTCTGTTCACTATACCGATTTTTATATTAATATATGTGATTTATGTGAATGTGCTGATTAAGAAACGTATGAGAGGTTTTGGCATAAGTTACGTTGAAGTAGAAAGTGTTATGATAGGCTGAGATTAGATTTAAGTTATATTTTTTGAATAAAGAGAGATCATTTGCGCATGCGCGGATAGGGTGGTTTGATTATGTTTTGAGCAATGTGTTTAGCAGAAGTAATGTTTTAATTCTAACTGTTAACATCTTGAGTATAGATAGAGAGGAATTCAGTTGTCTACCTATTGAGTGTCAGTATTTACCATTGAATAAGAGATCAGTAGTAATCCTCCTGGTACAGTCTCCCTGGGTATCATTCGACCCTACATATTACCCGGAGTATTAACAGGTTTCAGGTAGTCAGTAGAGGAGTCCTACTCCGTCCCTTTCAATAGCCTATATATAATATGAGTCTCTTTAATCCTACACCATCTACTTTGCAACTTGTTTAGTATTGTGTCTGATGTTATATTTTATTGTGGAAATCTGTAGTTTTCAAATTTTCTTATACACACTGTACTGATGAGTTGAGAGAGAAAACGGGGTAATAATTTAATAAGCAACTCTCTAGATATGACGTCACACACAACACGCTCAATATTTTGCAACACTAAAATTATGACGTCACACGCAACACACTTCATGATGATAAGACGTTGATAAGAGATCGCAGGATTAGAAGGTTGCTAACCGCCATCTTGGCTCATTTCCCTAACGGAACCAGTATGGCAGTTATCAACCCACCGTATCCTCATCGACGTATTATTATCGAGTTTCTGGTATTGACCGACGATAAAATCCGCTGCTTCTCTTGGTCAGAGGTTACAAATATCCAAACAACGTTCCATAAACGACTTTTATTGAAGAATATGTACACAATTATAACCATTGTCACAGTATCAGAAATATTTATGTACAACAGATACAGAACAGTTATAGAAAAGACACGTCCAACACATGCTTTAACAGTTTAGATATCTAAATATATATCTAAAGATATCCGTGGTCCATATTCAAAATAGAAATTTTGAGAAAATAGAAAAGGGGACTTCAAATAAGATTAACGAGCCAATTAAAGCATATTGAAAACGAATGCCATGTTTACTAAAGTCCATTTCTGAGAAAGGATATGAAATAGTCGTGTTGATAAATACGTGTTTTTGTCGAAGTTGAATGATGGATATTCTGATTCCGTGGACTGTTTGACTGATTTACAATGTTTGTCTACAGACATGTAGGTTATCATGTACATTGTACCAAATCACAGAAATCTCCAGACCATTTCCATTGAAATAAGATGAATGGTTAGTGAAAAGTTTAATGAAAATGTGTCGACTATTTTGGCCACTGAAATATCAGACGTCCACCATTATACTCTGGATAAGCTATTGCTGGCTTTGGTCATTATGGTCTTTAGACCATTTATATAAGAAAATGTTCATTTCCACGGCGTCTTACGTTATCGTGAATAACAATTATTTGTTGATATTATGGTTAATTTATTGTTCTACTTGTTAATACTCCAATAAGACAAAATGGCATCAGGATGATAGGAGCTTGTACCAGAGTGACCTTGGTGACCTCTTTGTAAGATATTTTTTCTACATTTGTTTGTTTTTTGTCTTGTTTTCCTCTTCGACATATGGTTTGATCATCCGGTACATTTCTGTTTTCCTGACCAAATGAACGTGCACAATAAGGGAGCAGACCAAGGAAATTCATCAAGTGCTTCTCTACAAATGGCGATAGCCATGTCTCAATATTGACCGCCTGTCAGCCATATTGTTTTTATGACCAATCTCAACATTGACAGTGCACGGCTCAGACTACACTGGAAATTTGACAATGATTTATGCAATATTGCTCAAGGAATCGCAGTAAGAATTGTTTCGGGACATTTGGAAATACAGACCACGGACTGCAGACCACGGACTATAGACCACGGACTACATACCACGGACTACAGACCACGGAGTACAGACCACGGGCTACATACCACGGAGTACAGACCACGGAGTACAGACCACGAACTACATACCACGGACTACAGACCACGGACTACAGACCACGGACTACATACCACGGACTACAGACCACGGAGTACAGACCACGGGCTACATACCACGGAGTACAGACCACGGAGTACAGACTACATACCACGGACTACAGACCACGGAGTACAGACCACGGGCTACAAACCACGGAGTACATACCACGGACTACAGACCACGGACTACATACCACGGATAACAGACCACGGAGTACAGACCACGGGCTTCATACCACGGAGTACAGACCACGAACTACATACCACGGACTACATACCACGGAGTACAGACCACGAACTACATACCACGGACTACATACCACGGAGTACAGACCACGGGCTACAGACCACTGACTACATACCACGGAGTACAGACCACGAACTACATACCACGGACTATATACCACGGACTACATACCACGGAGTACAGACCACGAACTACATACCACGGACTACATACCACGGAGTACAGACCATGGGCTACATACCACGGACTACATACCACGGAGTACATACCACGGACTACATACCACGGAATACAGACCACGGACTACATACCACGGAGTACAGACAACGGCCTACAGGTTACGGACCACGGACTACAGGTTACGGACTACATACCACGGACTACATACCACGGAGTACAGACCACGAACTACAGGTTACGGACTACGGACTAAAGGTTACGGACCACGGACTACAGGTTTCGGATAATGGATGAAGGGCGACAGATGACTACCATGGATGTTGTAATGGATATTGACAACATGTATTGAATTTTAGAAGTTACATTTGAAAACATTTTTTAAACTATCTATACAAATGAAAGATAATGTAAATGATAATCTATTGGTATTAATATACTGAATATAAAAATATATAAGTTTATAGATTATGATCTACTGCCTTAATATTATATCTGCAGCTTTCTCCCCAATCATTGTCGCCGGAGCGTTTGTATTGCCTGCAGGAACATTTCTCATAACTGAAGCGTCAACCACACGAAGACCGGATATACCTTTCACTCTGAAAAGGAATTGATAGATATAGACCCAACAAAGAAAATATATTTCACACCAGAAATAGTTAGAGAAACAGAAACAGTTAAATCATGTTTTTTTTTCAGGATATCAATACAGACATAGAATATAGACAGTTCACTATGTGTGTGTTACAGTTATGATTTTCTATCGTCACGTGACACAACAACTGCAACCAGAAAATAGTCGCGATGTTCGCAAGTGAGAGCAATAAATAAAATCAACATGCTATGTTCAATAATCAAGACTATCAGGACGATAGCGAATTAACGAACATGAATTGGTCGTAAATATGACAATGAAGTGTGAAATGGTGCCTAATTTGAAACTGCTTCACTCGTAAGCAGCCTCACAGATTTCATCACTTACTTAAAAAAACTAACCGGATATAGCAGGTGAATCACCCCATAAAAATCAAGTATGCTGATTAAAATAGCGTCTCACCTTAGGTTTGAGTCCACAACAGCTGTCTTGTCTGACATTGCTCCCATTCTACACCCCGATGTTGGATGGAAGACAGTCAACGTGTATTGCCTTGCATAACATTCCCAGAAACTGTCAGAGCGAAACTCGTGTTGAGAGCAGAGGTGATAGAGAGGAGACTTGTAGTTGACGTCTATTCCAATGGATCTCATCGTTTGAGTGCCTACGAGTTTCTCCACAAAGCGTATACCTAAACAAAGACATAAGATGTTCATTATTGTATAAAAACAACGGGAAAATACCAACATAATGTCAATCCAAACTCAAAGTCAATAAAACTAATCATCTGAAAAAAAAGTACAAGGAGTATGAGACCATGTGTTTTGGAAAAGTAAGCGTCTTCTGCTTCATCAAATGAGGACAAGAAACATTAACAATATACCAACATGGCAACGTAATCATAATTCAAACTCAAATTCCATAAAACTAGGACAAAATATGAACTTATGAAATATGAAGAGTAAGCGTCTTGTGCTTTATCAACGGCACCCGTCATGTAAACCTTGGTCGATTCAAGTAAGTCATTTCACGTTCTCAAATGAGAACAAGGTATACAACAACGGAACCAACAGGCAAACTAACGAGCATCAAACACGTCAAACTTCAAATTGCACAAAGAAATATATTTTTTTCAATTACGTCACCATGACGACCGTATAACTTCCACATATTTTCATTAACCTACATCTTTTGATACCATTTGTTACGATTTTGTCCGTCAGTTGCCGATTTCTTGCACAAACATCGTAATCAAGGGGACAACTGCAACATATAAACGCCATAGGTTGGGGACGCAGGGATGTTGATACCCAGAAAAGGAAAATTTACAATAGGGAGATAGAAATCCTCAAGTTTATCATACAGCTTGATGGAAAGCTGTCATGTTGGTTTCGTTGTAGTAAAAGATTAAGTAAAAATGGCTGATGTAGGAGAGTCTGTCGTGTCTATTATTTTCAATTCTGGTGGGTATATGCGACGGACATTGTCAATAAATATTTTGTTATTCAAAGACAAGACGTCATCAGTATATCTGAAAGTGAATTAAAAGGCTTTGCAAGGCCTTTGTGACATGTTTTTATAAGACTATCAATAGTTTATTAGAAGATCACCAAAATCGACCAAGATGTTGTCAACGAGAGAATCGATCATTTCTATGATTTTGTTCTCCCATATTTCCCTATGTCTTTTTAAAAAAATACTCTTCAGCATTATTCAAACCCATATTTTTTACCGCCGTCCACTTTTCTTGGAGGAGAGAGCTCTCATAACTGGACGACAATGCGTTCTTTCAGTTTAGTATGGGTATGGCGGTGTACAGGATGGAAAAATAAAATGTTCATGTAGATAAATTGTTTTCAAAGAGGGTGTTGAAGATTTGTCAAAAAGCTCGCTGCAGTATTTTTTTTTTGTTTGTTTTTGTTTTTTTTATTCACAAATTATTGATTTCACTTCTTGAGTAAACAGTATTATAATAAGACTGTAACCTAGAATTGTTAGTATTTAGAATGGTGGTTAGTTGTGTTGGCAATGGCTTTGTTGAACAATTAGACGAACCAGCAATAATAAGTTGTTCATATGGATTTTTGTGAAGCTTAGGAATCCAAAATAAACGGTAGATGTCCGTATCCTTATTATTAATAGGCAATCTAAACGATCGTAATATCGAAGTATTACAGGCCAGTATTTTGTCTTTGGAAGGATTGCATAATGTATAAGTGGGATTGTGTTTGTTAAGCTGAGATTATACAACAAGTAATTATTGGACATGGTATTTCATTTACTCGAGTTCGTTATTTTTCAAAATTTTCAAAAAATACGCAAACTTTAGCGATTCTCAGGCACAACCGTGAATGTTCAATGTTTATTCCGAAATGAAATAGTCAGATCCAAGAAAGTCGGCGTAAATTGATAGTTTCTCGAAATTCTGGGCTTTTTGGTTACCTTCAAATTAGATCAAGGTCATTTATTTGAACAAACTTCATTGCTATTTATCCAGGAAAATACAAATTAAGCATCTTTAAATTTAAAATTAAGGATCTTTAGAACTTTTGAAAAGAAGTCATTTGAAAATTTTAATACCCATTCGACCTTGAAAGTGGATCAAGGCATTTCATTTGAGCAAAGTCGGTAGCCCTTCATCCCAACAGGAACAATGTTAGTGCCCAGCGCCTTATAATTACTGGGAAAATCTATTAAAAAGGAAAAGTTCACGCTGGACAAACAAACTACGCTCGCCCTTCGGACAAATGAGCTTAAAACACATGCTTACCACGAATTAACATCTTCACGTCGTCTGGGTGCTCCAGGTAATGTGGGTCGATTTCTGGGTAGTCAAATGGGTCAGTGGTCTTCAGCCGAATGGTCCCTCTACTTTTAGGGTGGAGAAGTATAGGGAAAAATGAAACTGACAGAACGTCCTCAGGCATCAGGAAAATTTTATCGTCAATCTGTCAAAACAACAAGATTTTATTGGCATGTGAGTCAGATTTGAAATAAATTACACACTGGTGATAGCCGAGATCGGAAGAAAAAAAAACTTGTTTTCCACACAAATCATCGAAAATAAGGAGAATGAGACCATGTTTTCTGTCTCGGCTTACATGTTCATTCTGGGAAATATCTCCGATGGAAAAGGTCAAAACATACTGCAACATCATCGATATACATAAACCTATATACTAAAGGATAAGACGGACTACACCTCTCACTAAATTATTACATTAATGTTAACTAAAGGACTAGACACGCTACACCTCTCACTCAATTAATACATTAATGTTAACTATAGGACTAAACGGTTTTGCACATCTCACCCATCCATGTACGATTTCTGTAACAACGAAGTGAATTTCGAAGGATTCAACCATTGTATTGTAATACCCGGTGTTTTGAGGTAAACGATTATTTTAATTTGTTTTCAGAAGTCATACCTCCTTTTTGAAATTAAAGTTCACAAGTCCTTTCATGCTAGGCGGGAAGATATGTGCACTGAAGAAATGAAGCTGTATGTCAGACGTCCTGCCGGCATCCTTCTTTAAGTCGAAGTCGTCATAAACGAAAGCTACGCCTTCACCGAATGTACCGGAGAGGTAGCCTTGAACAAAGAATGTACTATTTCACAACGCAGTATAATTGTTCTCATTAAAAAAAACTCCTTAGAAATCAATCCATGAATCTGTCAGTGGTTAATCATTAGGTGATTTCGTGTTGATCTTACAATATATTTAATACACAGAAATACATAACCTTTTCCAAAAATGTCGTACTGCATTCGTGTCCAGCGTGAGGTCAGTTTTTCGAGAGTTATAGGACTGGTAACATTGACAGGAAACGTCAAAGGTGCCAACAAATGATCCTGGAGATTGTTCCCTACTGGTAAATCAGCCTCCACTTTTATCTAAAACAATATGATACCGACAGATCGTTAATCCAGACCGGTACAACACCATTAACAATATACCACCGGTAGATCGTTAATCCAGACCGGTACAGCACAATTAACAATACCACCGGTAGATCGTTATTCCAGAGCGGCACAGCACCATCATTAATATAATACCGGTACAGAACCATTAAATTTTGAGTGATTTCAAATGGTATAACAAAGACTGTAATATATGTTAAATATATATAATGTTATAGATACCCCTAACTCCTCCAAATGTTCCTTTGGTCCAACACCCGACAGCATCAGTAGCTGAGGAGAATTGACGGCTCCTGCAGACAGAATCACCTCCTTCCGGGCCAATGACTGATACTTTCGACCATTTTTTATGTATTCTATCCCTATGGCTTTCTTCTTGTCTATCAATATCTACAATTATGTACATAAATTTAACGCCAAAAAATACACTTTTCTTTTTTTACAAAAAGACTTGAATACCAATGACAAAAATAAAAAATATAATAAAAAAAATAAAAATATTTGACATATATGTCAAAAATGTATGAAAATGAATAGTGATACATCGTGATTAAAATGGCCGTCGTCATCAATACAGAAGGTCAAAGGTCGACACCATCAATACAGAACGTCAAAGACTGACACCATCAATACAGAAGGTCAAAGGTCGACACCATCAATACAGAACGTCAAAGACTGACACCATCAATACAGAACGTCAAAGACTGACACCATCAATACAGAACGTTAAAGGTCGACACCATCAGTACAGAAGGCCAAAGGTCGACACAATCAATACAGACCGTCAAAGGTCGACACCATCAGTACAGAACGTCAAAGGTCGACACCATCAATACAGAACGTCAAAGACTGACACCATCAATACAGAACGTCAAAGGTCGACACCATCAATACAGAACGTCAAAGGTCGACACCATCAATACAGAACGTCAAAGGTCGACACCATCAATACAGAACGTAAAAATGTCGACACCATCAATACAGAACGTCAAAGGCCGACACCATCAATACAGAACGTCAAAGGTCGACACCATCAATACAGAACGTCAAAGGTCGACAACATCAACACAGAACGTCAAAGGTCGACACGTCAAAGACTGACACCATCAATACAGAACGTCGAAGGTCGACACCATCAATACAGAACGTCAAAGGTCGACACCATCAATACAGAACGTCAAAGGTCGACACCATCCATCGACACCATCAACAGAACGTCAAAGGCCGACACCATCAATACAGAACGTCAAAGGTCGACACCATCAATACAGAACGTCAAAGGTCGACAACATCAACACAGAACGTCAAAGGTCGAAACCATCAATACAGAACGTCAAAGGCCGACACCATCAATACAGAACGTCAAAGGTCGACACCATCAATACAGAACGTCAAAGGTCGACACCATCAACACAGAACGTCAAAGGTCGACACCATCAATACAGAACGTCAAAGACTGACACCATCAATACAGAACGTTAAAGGTCGACACCATCAATACAGAATGTCAAAGGTCGACACCATCAATACAGAAGGTCAAAGACTGACACCATCAATACAGAACGTCAAAGGTCGACACCATCAATACAGAACGTCAAAGGTTGACACCATCAATACAGAACGTCAAAGGTCGACACCATCAATACAGAACGTCAAAGGTCGACACCATCAATACAGAACGTCAAAGGTCGACACCATCAATACAGAAGGACAAAGACTGACATCATCAATACAGAACGTCAAAGACGCTTTACCGGGTCATTTTAACAAAGCAACTGATTTGAAGGACTTAAGAAAATGTTTGGATATGGTAGTAATACTTGGGAGTGAATTCTATTTACTTTGGTTGTAAAGGTGTTAGTGCTGACGTGCAGGTTTGGACGATCAATATTGCTCTTCACAAATGATCTGTAATTGTTCCAGCGCTCGCCATTTTTTATATTTGACTGCATCCAGGAAAATCCTAAAACAGTCGAAGTCAGTGTTGTTAAAGTTTCTTGGAAATATTACACCTTCATACCTGACACTAATCATGTTAAAATACATACAAAAAACGACGCTGAAAACGTCGCTCTGCTTTACTCTAGCAACATAATTATACTAGGCCGGGAATGTTATTTACATCGCAACGGAGTAAAGAAATACCCCCAAAAGCCCATCTCTGAATTAATTGCAACAGAAGCTATTTTTTGCGTTTATTTCACAAATAATACATCAAAAGCCTAGAAATTTTGATTTTCTAAACTCTTTCTCATATAAAATGCTATCCCATTTTGAGCCATAATCTCATCTAGCAGGGGGAGAGTTTAGACAATTATTGTTATTCTAAATGTAAGTTCAGTATTTCAAATAGAGATAAATGTTACAGAAACGACAAAAAATACCCCTACATCCTTTAAAATAAAGACAAAATCTAATTTTTTTGATTTTTTGCTCAATAGTATCAGACGTGAAGATTACATATAACAGTTTCCAGTAATTGGGTTATCTCTAAGATAAATATTCCTTTAATAACACAGACCGGAAATAGGGTTATCTGTTAGATCAATAGCCCTTAAATAAAACAGACTGGAAATAGGGTTATCTCTAAGATCAATATCCCTTAAATAACACAGACCGGAAAAAGGGTTATCTCTAAGATCAATATTCCTTAAATAACACAGACCGGAAATAGGGTTATCTGTTAGATCAATAGCCCTTAAATAAAACAGACTGGAAATAGGGTTATCTCTAAGATCAATATTCCTTAAATAACACAGACCGGAAATAGGGTTATCTGTTAGATCAATAGCCCTTAAATAAAACAGACTGGAAATAGGGTTATCTCTAAGATCAATATTCCTTAAATAAAACAGACTGGAAATAGGGTTATCTCTAAGATCAATATTCCTTAAACAACACAGACCGGAAATAGGGTTATCTGTTAGATCAATAGCCCTTAAATAAAACAGACTGGAAATAGGGGTTATCTTAAATAAAACAGACTGGAAATAGGGTTATCTAAATCAATATTCCTTAAACAACACAGACCGGAAATAGGGTTATCTGTTAGATCAATAGCCCTTAAATAAAACAGACTGGAAATAGGGTTATCTCTAAGATCAATATTCCTTAAATAAAACAGACTGGAAATAGGGTTATCTCTAAGATCAATATTCCTTAAACAACACAGACCGGAAATAGGGTTATCTGTTAGATCAATAGCCCTTAAATAAAACAGACTGGAAATAGGGTTATCTCTAAGATCAATATTCCTTAAATAAAACAGACCGGAAATAGGGTTATCTCTTAGATCAATAGCCCTTAAATAATATGACCCCGAGGTAAATTAAGTACACCACAGATAACAGTTATACGAAATGGTCGAGTCATGAAATTTAATTACCGATTTGGTCTTCTCCGTTACAGTCTACAGTGTTATAGCCGAGGTCCCTACCAGCCTTCAGATACAACTGCTGAATCGGTGTTAAATCGGAACGACTGATGGGTATAGGTCCATTCGTTCCTCTGTAGTCTGTGATACAAATGAGGCATGGTAATGAAATCTAATGAAATGTTTTAAAACCTGTGTAAAATACCAATGAGGATACGACGAAAGCACCAATAAATCATATGTACCTGACTTGTATTCATCTACCTGAACAGCCTCCGATTTGATAAAATACGGCAGGACATCTTTGTAGCTCCAACCTTCACACCCCTCCTCCGCCCAGCTGTCATAGTCATGAGGATTTCCTCTAACGAACGATAACCAATTGAGAGAACTGCTTCCGCCGAGAACTTTTCCTCGTGGCCAGTAACTCTTCTGAATGATTAAAATGTAACAAACAAACGTGACATTACGTAGGATAAACAAGTTTAAACATACACTCTCGTTATACCTATATCTCTATAGACAACAGTTCGAGTTTAAAATTGAATTATCTCCCTTGCACCATTGCCATGGAATTGTTTCTGAAGTGATCTCTTATATCAACAACTGCTGTGTTGTAGGTAATTGTGTCGTTATTCAACGTGCCATTGATCCTAGGTTCCAATCTGACAGAGTGTTTCTGTAGTTTATCAACACTAAATTTGAATCGCGTCCATCCTATTTCGCTCTATTGAGTAAACGTTTACAGTTTGTACAGCTTTTTCCAGTCATCATTGATTTACAGATACATGGAACTTGAGGCCCAGTGATCTAATCCAAATTCTTCTTGGAATGTTCGGAATTCCTGATAATCGAATAAAGGGCCGTTATTGGTAACCAAGAGATATGGAATGCCATATCTCGCGAATTTCGAGGTACAGTGAGTCACAGCGAGATATAGTAAGTTACAGTGAGTTGTCTTCCCTTCAATTCAAGTCGACTACCACATTTCTTGTTGTAGTTTCTGCCAATGCCAACTTATATTATGTTTCCAAAGTGGTGTAGTGACCTGTGGAAAATTAGGTATGAATAATTGGCAGCTTACTGAATCATGCCCCGCAATCTCCTGATTCCTGCTTCATCCCCGGGCTCTGGTATTTCCTGGATAGCGTTTACTTTTTCAATATCTAGTTTGGTGTTTTTAGCTGTGCCTTTTCAGGACATCTGAAGCTTTAAGTTTCGCCTTTCCAGGACATGTGGGGTTTAATCTTTCGCCTTTACAGGACATGTGGGGTTTAATCCATCGCCTTTTCAGAACATCTAGGGTTTTAAATTTCGCCTTTTCAGGACATCCAGGATTTAACGTTTCGCCTTTACAGGACATCCGGGGTTTATGGTTTGGCCTTTTCAGGACATTGGGGTTTTAAGTTGCGCCTTTTCAGGACATCTAGGGTTTTAAGTTGCACCTTTTCAGGACATCTGGGGTTTTAAGTTGCGCCTTTTCAGGACATACGGGGTTTAAAATTGCGCCTTCACAAGACATCCGGGGTTTAAACTTTTGCCTTTTCAGTTCATCCGGGGTTTAATCTTTCGGCTTTACAGGATATCCGGGGTTTAAAATTACGCTTTTTCAGGACATTCGGGGTTTAAAGTTTCGCCTTTACAGGACATCTGAAGTTTTAAGTTGCGCATCTTAAGGACATCTTGAATTTTAAGTGGCGCCTTTTCAGAATATATGGTGTTTTGATTTACGTCTTTTCAGGACACCGGTGGTTTTGAATTTGACAATTTTCCTTTCCTCATGACAATAAGCAATGAGTATACAACCGAACATTAGGACATATGCTTTATTCAGAACGAGGTGGTTCATTTAAAATCGCGATGTTTTAATATTTGCACGATTATTTATAAATATCATCGAAAACATCATCGTCGCAATCAATTCTTAATACTTATGTTAATAAATATATATACCTGTTGTTTTTGAGCGAAACATGCATGTTTTTGTGGCTCAGTGCGATATCCCCAGTCCTGTTCTGATTCTAGAAGTAGCATGGCTTCCCCCGGGACCAGGATGTGGGGTGACTCATCGTCAGATCCCCCCGCTTCCACCAAAAGCACGTGATTAGTCGGATCTTCTGTTAAACGTCCTGCAACCACCGACCCTGATGATCCCGCTCCAACTGCAGTTGAGAAAACTGAAATTATTTGTTGTGAATTTTCCCTTCCTTTTTCTGATTTTGATATTTATCTAGCTTATCCTGGTATGATTACACTATGTCTGATATCAGAGCGGACTGTAAATGATGCGTCACACAAATATAAATCTGATTGATATCCACAATTACACCTACAGATTTGTAACTAGAAGCAAGTAATGGAAAGACTGTTTTGAAAACCGGTCCAATATGGTACCGTTCTTAATCTAGGACCTGGCAACACAACAGGGCATCCAAACTGTCTCATTCTGATACCAACACACAACAGGACCTCCAAACTGTCTCATTCTGATACCAACACACAACAGGACATCCAAACTGTCTTACTCTGATACCAACACACAACAGGACATCCAAACTATCTTATTCTGATACCAACACACAACAGGGCCTACAAACTATCTTATTCTGATACCAACACACAACAGGGCCTACAAACTATCTTATTCTGATACCAACACACAACAGGACATCCAAACTGTCTTACTCTGATACCAACACACAACAGGACATCCAAACTATCTTACTCTGATACCAACACACAACAGGGCCTACAAACTATCTTACTCTGATACCAACACACAACAGGACATCCAAACTAACTTACTCTGATACCAACACACAGCAGGGCCTACAAACTATTTTACTCTGATACCAACACACAACAGGACATCCAAACTATCTTATTCTGATACCAACACACAACAGGACATCCAAACTATCTTACTCTGATACCAACACACAGCAGGGCCTACAAACTATTTTACTCTGATACCAACACACAACAGGACATCCAAACTATCTTATTCTGATACCAACACACAACAGGACATCCAAACTATCTTACTCTGATACCAACACACAACAGGACATCCAAACTATTTTATTCTGATACCAACACACAACAGGGCCTACAAACTATCTTATTCTGATACCAACACACAACAGGGCCTACAAACTATCTTACTCTGATACCAACACACAACAGGACATCCAAACTATCTTACTCTGATACCAACACACAGCAGGGCCTACAAACTATCTTACTCTGATACCAACACACAACAGGACATCCAAACTATCTTATTCTGATACCAACACACAACAGGACATCCAAACTATCTTACTCTGATACCAACACACAACAGGACATCCAAACTATTTTATTCTGATACCAACACACAACAGGGCCTACAAACTATCTTATTCTGATACCAACACACAACAGGGCCTACAAACTATCTTACTCTGATACCAACACACAACAGGACATCCAAACTGTCTTACTCTGATACCAACACACAACAGGGCCTACAAACTATCTTATTCTGATACCAACACACAACAGGGCCTACAAACTATCTTATTCTGATACCAACACACAACAGGACATCCAAACTGTCTTACTCTGATACCAACACACAACAGGGCCTACAAACTATCTTACTCTGATACCAACACACAACAGGGCCTACAAACTATCTTACTCTGATACCAACACACAACAGGGCCTACAAACTATCTTATTCTGATACCAACACACAGCAGGGCCTACAAACTATCTTACTCTGATACCAATACACAACAGGGCCTACAAACTATCTTACTCTGATACCAACACACAACAGGACATCCAAACTATCTTATTCTGATACCAACACACAACAGGGCCTACAAACTATCTTATTCTGATACCAACACACAACAGGACATCCAAACTGTCTTACTCTGATACCAACACACAACAGGACATCCAAACTATCTTACTCTGATACCAACACACAACAGGGCCTACAAACTATCTTACTCTGATACCAACACACAACAGGACATCCAAACTAACTTACTCTGATACCAACACACAGCAGGGCCTACAAACTATTTTACTCTGATACCAACACACAACAGGACATCCAAACTATCTTATTCTGATACCAACACACAACAGGACATCCAAACTATCTTACTCTGATACCAACACACAGCAGGGCCTACAAACTATTTTACTCTGATACCAACACACAACAGGACATCCAAACTATCTTATTCTGATACCAACACACAACAGGACATCCAAACTATCTTACTCTGATACCAACACACAATAGGACATCCAAACTATTTTATTCTGATACCAACACACAACAGGGCCTACAAACTATCTTATTCTGATACCAACACACAACAGGGCCTACAAACTATCTTACTCTGATACCAACACACAACAGGACATCCAAACTATCTTACTCTGATACCAACACACAGCAGGGCCTACAAACTATCTTACTCTGATACCAACACACAACAGGACATCCAAACTATCTTATTCTGATACCAACACACAACAGGACATCCAAACTATCTTACTCTGATACCAACACACAACAGGACATCCAAACTATTTTATTCTGATACCAACACACAACAGGGCCTACAAACTATCTTATTCTGATACCAACACACAACAGGGCCTACAAACTATCTTACTCTGATACCAACACACAACAGGACATCCAAACTGTCTTACTCTGATACCAACACACAACAGGGCCTACAAACTATCTTATTCTGATACCAACACACAACAGGGCCTACAAACTATCTTATTCTGATACCAACACACAACAGGACATCCAAACTGTCTTACTCTGATACCAACACACAACAGGGCCTACAAACTATCTTACTCTGATACCAACACACAGCAGGGCCTACAAACTATCTTACTCTGATACCAACACACAGCAGGGCCTACAAACTATCTTACTCTGATATCAACACACAGCAGGGCCTACAAACTATCTTACTCTGATACCAACACACAACAGGGCCTACAAACTATCTTACTCTGATACCAACACACAACCGGACATCCAAACTATCTTATTCTGATACCAACACACAACAGGGCCTACAAACTATCTTACTCTGATACCAACACACAACAGGACATCCAAACTATCTTATTCTGATACCAACACACAACAGGGCCTACAAACTATCTTATTCTGATACCAACACACAACAGGGCCTACAAACTATCTTACTCTGATACCAATACACAACAGGGCCTACAAACTATCTTACTCTGATACCAACACACAACAGGACATCCAAACTATCTTATTCTGATACCAACACACAACAGGGCCTACAAACTATCTTATTCTGATACCAACACACAACAGGACATCCAAACTGTCTTACTCTGATACCAACACACAACAGGACATCCAAACTATCTTACTCTGATACCAACACACAACAGGGCCTACAAACTGTCTCATTCTGATACCAACACACAACAGGACATCCAAACTGTCTTACTCTGATACCAACACACAACAGGACATCCAAACTATCTTATTCTGATACCAACACACAACAGGGCCTACAAACTATCTTATTCTGATACCAACACACAACAGGGCCTACAAACTATCTTATTCTGATACCAACACACAACAGGACATCCAAACTGTCTTACTCTGATACCAACACACAACAGGACATCCAAACTATCTTACTCTGATACCAACACACAACAGGGCCTACAAACTATCTTACTCTGATACCAACACACAACAGGACATCCAAACTAACTTACTCTGATACCAACACACAGCAGGGCCTACAAACTATTTTACTCTGATACCAACACACAACAGGACATCCAAACTATCTTATTCTGATACCAACACACAACAGGACATCCAAACTATCTTACTCTGATACCAACACACAGCAGGGCCTACAAACTATTTTACTCTGATACCAACACACAACAGGACATCCAAACTATCTTATTCTGATACCAACACACAACAGGACATCCAAACTATCTTACTCTGATACCAACACACAACAGGGCCTACAAACTATCTTACTCTGATACCAACACACAACAGGACATCCAAACTATCTTACTCTGATACCAACACACAGCAGGGCCTACAAACTATTTTACTCTGATACCAACACACAACAGGACATCCAAACTATCTTATTCTGATACCAACACACAACAGGACATCCAAACTATCTTACTCTGATACCAACACACAACAGGACATCCAAACTATTTTATTCTGATACCAACACACAACAGGGCCTACAAACTATCTTATTCTGATACCAACACACAACAGGGCCTACAAACTATCTTACTCTGATACCAACACACAACAGGACATCCAAACTATCTTACTCTGATACCAACACACAGCAGGGCCTACAAACTATCTTACTCTGATACCAACACACAACAGGACATCCAAACTATCTTATTCTGATACCAACACACAACAGGACATCCAAACTATCTTACTCTGATACCAACACACAACAGGACATCCAAACTATTTTATTCTGATACCAACACACAACAGGGCCTACAAACTATCTTATTCTGATACCAACACACAACAGGGCCTACAAACTATCTTACTCTGATACCAACACACAACAGGACATCCAAACTATCTTACTCTGATACCAACACACAACAGGGCCTACAAACTATCTTATTCTGATACCAACACACAACAGGACATCCAAACTGTCTTACTCTGATACCAACACACAACAGGGCCTACAAACTATCTTACTCTGATACCAACACACAACAGGGCCTACAAACTATCTTACTCTGATACCAACACACAACAGGGCCTACAAACTATCTTATTCTGATACCAACACACAACAGGGCCTACAAACTATCTTACTCTGATACCAACACACAACAGGGCCTACAAACTATCTTACTCTGATACCAACACACAGCAGGGCCTACAAACTATCTTATTCTAATACCAACACACAACAGGACATCCAAACTATCTTACTCTGATACCAACACACAACAGGGCCTACAAACTATCTTATTCTGATACCAACACACAACAGGACATCCAAACTGTCTTACTCTGATACCAACACACAACAGGGCCTACAAACTATCTTACTCTGATACCAACACACAACAGGGCCTACAAACTATCTTACTCTGATACCAACACACAACAGGGCCTACAAACTATCTTATTCTGATACCAACACACAGCAGGGCCTACAAACTATCTTACTCTGATACCAACACACAGCAGGGCCTACAAACTATCTTACTCTGATACCAACACACAGCAGGGCCTACAAACTATCTTACTCTGATACCAACACACAACAGGGCCTACAAACTATCTTACTCTGATACCAACACACAACCGGACATCCAAACTATCTTATTCTGATACCAACACACAACAGGGCCTACAAACTATCTTATTCTGATACCAACACACAGCAGGGCCTACAAACTATCTTACTCTGATACCAACACACAGCAGGGCCTACAAACTATCTTACTCTGATACCAACACACAGCAGGGCCTACAAACTATCTTACTCTGATACCAACACACAACAGGGCCTACAAACTATCTTACTCTGATACCAACACACAACCGGACATCCAAACTATCTTATTCTGATACCAACACACAACAGGGCCTACAAACTATCTTACTCTGATACCAACACACAACAGGGCCTACAAACTATCTTACTCTGATACCAATACACAACAGGGCCTACAAACTATCTTACTCTGATACCAACACACAACAGGACATCCAAACTATCTTATTCTGATACCAACACACAACAGGGCCTACAAACTATCTTATTCTGATACCAATACACAATAGGGCCTACAAACTATCTTACTCTGATACCAACACACAACAGGGCCTACAAACTATCTTACTCTGATACCAACACACAACAGGACATCCAAACTATCTTATTCTGATACCAACACACAACAGGGCCTACAAACTATCTTACTCTGATACCAACACACAACAGGGCCTACAACTATCTTACTCTGATTCCAGCATACATGACAATAAATAAGACACCGTGTTGTCATAATGGATGTTTTCATAGACACCAAACTAGTTGTTGTCATAGTTACAATACGAAAGTTTTCAAAGATATGGAATGAGCTGATGTTTTAACCACAATAATGAGAACTATCATGAAATACATTGATATTATTTTGAAAGAAACAGATAATTGATAGTTTAGTTTATAACAATAGTTGATACATGTAATAATGAATGTATTACAGGTTAACTTATTAAATCACGTGACACATTCCAGATTACGTACCTATGATGTAGTCATATGTGTCATTCAGTGTTATAGGTTTGGCACGGTGTTCTGTAGATCTGTAGCTATAGAGAAGAGCCACGGCTACAGACAGGCACGTTGTAAAAACAAATCTGTCCATTTTCCAATCCCTCTGTGGATCAACCGTAACACAAATCAAAACTGGTCAAGCGAATCAAAACATAACATTGATTAAAAATCTTATTACATATGTGTTTTGATATCAACATGTAATTTATATTTCGACTAGATAGGCGTTATTTCTGCCAACTCTAAGTAAATCTGACACTTAGTGCCACCCACCGCACAAATCAAGGACCTGATTATGTCAACAGTAAAACTTTTCATAATTTTCCTTTTCTCGAGAAAATTACACATTTCAAAGAGAGGTCATTATCGGGTCAAAATTCGAATTTAATTAGTTTGAATTCTGTGAAAATCGAAATTTCATGCTGTAGACAGCTATACTAGCTGACAGTAAATCAGGATTTGAATAGGTAAAAAGACTGTATATATATATTTATAAGTTTGCATGAGGAACACCTATTTCACTCTACAATTCAAATGTTCAACTATTGAAAACAATTAATCAAAAGTATAAAAGAAATTCACAAAGTTTATAACATTTTACCATTTATGCTGCCTTTTAGTGGACCATATTCGGTAATCGATTAATGCTTTCGACTCGGGATGTGCATGGATACGTACCGTTCGCATAGAAGGATGATTGATCTGTATATAAAATAATGCTCGAATCTGATCAGCATGTGTAGTAGTGGTGTATAACATGGGAATAGATACGAGACATAAGGAACCTGATAAGATTATAGAGTATGGTACATATGTACCTACGGAGGTATGACGTCACTATATCATTTCTATATTCATTATTTAGAGCGCTCGACATATCACCTCTGTTTACTTTGTTATAACACACTTACTCCCGCCTTGTAATGACGGTCAGAAATGTTATTCATAGACAGCTCACAATCAGATTACAGACATACACATGTACACCCACATACACATGTACACCCACATACACATGTGCACCCACATACACATGTACACCCACATACACAAGTGCACCTACATACACATGTACACCTTCATACACATGTACACCCACATACACATGTGCACCCACATACACATGTACACCTTCATACACATGTACACCCACATACACATGTACACCTTCATACACATGTACACCCAAATACACATGTACACCTTCATACACAAGTACACCTATACATACACATGTACACCCACATACACATGTACACCTATACATACACATGTACACTCATATAAACATGTAGGTATAATGATACTATATATACCTTCTGTACTTCCGATGCAATATCTTTGACGAGTGTATCACGATTTTCAACGGATGTCGTCTCCCAATTACAACACATAGTCCCCTCCCCTGTACAACAAATAGTCCTCTCCCCAGTAAAACACATAGTCCCCTCCCCAGTACAAAACATAGTCCCCTCCCCAGTACAAAACATAGTCCCCTCCCCAGTAAAGCACATAGTCCCCTCCCCAGTACAGCACATAGTCCTCTCCCCAGTACAAAACATAGTCCCTCCCCAGTACAACACAGTCCTCTCCCCAGTACAACACATAGTCCTCTCCCCAGTACAACACATAGTCCCTTCCTCAGTACAACACATAGTCCTCTCCCCAGTACAACACATAGTCCCCTTCCCAGTACAACGCATAATCCCCTCCCCCGTACAACACATAGTCCCCTCCCCAGTACAACGCATAGTAACCTCCCCAGTACAACACATAGTCCCCTCCCCAGTACAACACATAGTCCCCTCCCGAGTACAACTCATAGTCCCCTCCCCAGTACAACACATAGTCTCCTCCCCAGTAAAACAAATAGTCCCCTCCCCCAGTACAACACATAGTCCCATCCACAGTACAACACAGTCCCCTTCCCAGTACAACACATAGTCCTCTCCCCAGTACAACACATAGTCCCCTTCCAGTACAACACATAGTCCCCTTCCAGTACAACACATAGTCCCCTCCCCAATACAACACTTAGTCCCCTTCCAGTACAACACATAATCCCCTCCCCCGTACAACACATAGTCCCCTCCCCCGTACAACACATAGTCCCCTCCCCAGTACAACATATAGTCCCCACTCCCCACTCCAGTACAACACATAGTCCCCTTCCAGTACAACACTTAGTCCCCTCCCCAGTACAACACATAGTCCCCTTCCAGTACAACACATAGTCCCCTTCCAGTACAACACATAGTCCCCTCCCCAGTACAACTCATAGTCTCCTCCCCAATACAACACATAGTCCCCCTCCCCAGTACAACACATAGTCTTCTCCCCAGTACAACACATAGTCCCCTTCCAGTACAACACATAGTCCCCTTCCAGTACAACACATAGTCCCCTCCCCAATACAACACTTAGTCCCCTTCCAGTACAACACATAATCCCCTCCCCCGTACAACACATAGTCCCCTCCCCCGTACAACACATAGTCCCCTCCCCAGTACAACATATAGTCCCCTCCCCAGTACAACGCATAGTCCCCTCCCCAGTACAACACATAGTCCCCTCCCCAGTACAACACATAGTCCCCTCCCCAGTACAACACATAGTCCCCTTCCAGTACAACACATAGTCCCCTCCCCAGTACAACACATAGTCCCCTCCCCAGTACAACACTTATTCCCCTTCCAGTACAACACAAAGTCCCCTCCCCAATACAACACATATTCCCCTCCCCAGTACAACACATATTCCCCTCCCCAGTACAACACAAAGTCCCATCCCCAGTACAACACATAATCTCCTTTTAGTAAATGTGTTGGCTGTATTCTTTCTCCTTCACTGAACAATATTATGTAACACGTGTATAGTATTTTTCTGAAACAAACTTGAAATTCATCTTCAAATTATATGTAGAGTGACACATTTAAGTATTGTATCAGTCATTTTATACTTCAAAATGTTTCTAATATATCCTACCAACTCATATATTCACATACAATGTTTGACATTCAAACGTTGCCGATGTAAATGATATCTGATAAGTTGTTCCACTGCAAATTCGCTGGAAACAAAACACAGTACAGTTGCAAAGTTAAGAGTTTGACACATGACACAGATGAGTTGTTTAAGACATTTAAGTTATGGTTCAATCAACAGCTGGTCTGACAAGGGAAGTCAAATTACCAAAGTGGTCACAGATTTGACTTACAATACACTTACTACATGCATACCATAGTTTGAAATAAGAATATTGTGCATGCATATATATCTACACACACCTGCACGGTAAAAAAGGCGTGTTCTTGCCATGTCAGCTCATCTCCAACAAGTTCAGGACTATAGACATTTGGAAATAAACATACCTTGTACAAGTATATGAGAGCTTATTTTCATGGCAAACCATACTAAGATAGGAGGTTATATACGGTGAATATATAGGTATGCACCATGCACCCTGGCTCACACCCATATCAGGAATCATAAACTAGGTCATAGGCCATAGGTGTTTTTGGATTTACTATGGTTGACTTTTTAATCAAAGGAAAACTGGGTCGCAATGCAGTGGTTGCATGCAAAAGATCCTAGTAGGATGAGGGCTGATGGAGCTTTCATAGGACAACTTTATTAAATAAAATTGTCGCTTAAATATAAAGTATGTTCATATAACAGATTGGGAGATTAACTTAGGCTACAAGCTTATATCTTCCCTGGGTGCATTGACGTAACATGTAGTGAACAAGATTAAGGATAGGCCAAGACGATGTTTAGACAACAGATAAACGATTTGTGCATTAGTCCTGGTACAGGTGATAGACCTATCTCCCCCAATATGATGTTCAATTGTTTATTGACAAAAACCAAAGGCCGCGCGGCCTGTAGGTACACCTACATAATCATATACAATATACAAGTGGCAGAATGGAGGTTAGATACAATAGCATACACAATTAAACTGACAATTTAGTGTTAACAATATTATCTACTGGAAACATTCAACATTTTGATCATCTAATACATCTACTACTTATGTATTTTAACATTTCTTAAATCCATGGCTGACTTCAGAAATCTACATATATTGAGTTGTTGTTTATAGCTTTCCTCTGTTAGTAACTAAATAAGTTTGCACACTGATGGGTGATTATAAAAATATCCTTTTACATGTTAGAATATAAAGGACAGATTAACATGAAATGGTACTCATCTTCAATTTCTTGTAATTGACAATACATACATACTCTTTGACTTCGCTCAATATTAGCATGATGACCAGTTTCTATACGAAGAGGGTGGTATGACATTCTAAATTTAGACAATACACATTGCAAATGGTAAGGGATAGGCTTTGATAAGTAATACTGCAGTGAATAACTACGATTATCTATTAAATATTTATATAAATCACATTTACTCGATGTTTCAAAACTTGATAATATAATTTGGAAGAAAATGTCCTTCAGTCTCATTTTTTAGTTTTTACAAATACATTGATTTTCCCATACATACATAAATCCTGTAGTACACAGGTTGTGTTTAATATGACTTACCCAGTTTACAATTCTACCGGGATTTGCATTACAAATGTTGAGTTGTTCTTGATATATACCCTATAAAATACAATTGTCAGTATACAAAAATGTTAACCAATATTTAATAGCTTGGACATTTCTGTGAATGTACAATGGCACTCTTCCAAGCTCACTGTAAATCATCATATTTGTAGCTCTAGAAGGAGCCTTCAGAATTTTCTTACAAAAATACAAATGTACATTTTCTATATCTTTGGCGGCGTGAAAACCCCATACCTCACAACCATAGTTAAGAATAGTTGTAACGTATGTGTCAAAAATTGACTTTTCATTTCAGTAATAATTACCATAACTTTAGTATGCAAATACAGTACCTACACCCATCTTTGTATCCCAACAACAAAAGATTCAAAAGAAAAACAATCCCGCCCTCCATACGATCCATGAACCATCACGGCAGGAACGCAGAGTGATCTCCCTTCCTCTTACCTTTATGGCTGCCGACGAGTGCGGAGGTGTCTGAGCTAAGTGCTTTTCTTACTCCTTCTCTTCG